ATATAACACTGGATGCAACAAATGTAACTTAGTGTAGAATATTGTTTTAGGTACAAAGATGGCCAGATATCAAGAGATATAAATATGTATAGAGAAAACTTTTTGGTTAAATCTGCTTTCTTTGGTTAAATGGCCTTAAGTGTGGCTTCCTTTAACAGATTTCTCACTAATTCTAGGTTACGAACCAGATTTTTTTCTTTCTCATTGATCCATAGAGTTACAGCTGGGGATTTTAAAAACACTCTTAAAACACTCCATCAGGCTTTAGTTTGGTAACCATGGAGCTCTGAGGTACACAAACATCCTTTTCCTTCTTAGTGTTATATAGTGTAATGGTAAAGACACAGACCTGTTATTAACAGCATGATAATTGTTTCCACAAAGCCCAGGTCTTTCACACATTGGTAAGTTAGTGTGGGTGGGTTGCCATCCAGCTGCACTATCAATATTAAACATTTCACTTTACCATGTGACATATCTGCAGGGACAATATGGGACCAAAAAGTGTCACAAAAAAAGTGACACGTTGCTGCTCTCATGCGTTTTCAATCACAAAAAAAAAAACGAATGGACCAAATACTCAGAGAGTCTTTCAGCTTCCTCTGACTTGAAAATGTAAAAGCTTTGGAGCATTTCTTCTGCCCATCTTTTCATGTTCTCTGTTAAAATATCTCACATCTGTCCTGTTTCTTCGACCAAAAGTAAGTGGTTTACCATTGCATAAAAGTGGTCAACCCAAAAATGCTAATTGCTATATGGCGTTTCAGTATAAATAGACACAGAAAATGCTGTCAAACCTTATTTTAAAAAAGGAGGAAGTGAATACACGTCCTTGCTTTAAGTCCCTCACAAAGTTTTACATTTTGTATATGCTACAAACCATACGGATAGAAGAAAAGTGCAGACTATACATTTTTGTGTCAAGAAAAAGGCAGGCGGGACTAGAATGTTTGATCCAAAAGGCAAACAGAACATGAGCTGAACTTGTCATTTCATGCATCATGGTATTTCTCCACAGACTCTGGCTCTTGTGAGGGTCTGCCATGTTTACCATTACAGCAGTCACTCCGATGGCAACCGTCTTTCCTGTGGTGCAAAATGGCAAGAGGAGACCCCATGAGGATGTTTAATCCAGACCATTACTTTCTGTTTATGTCTTATTAGCCAGCCTTTTCACTTTAAGCACTCTTTTGTTTGCTTTGGTGACGAGCACCATGGTTTCTGGTCACCTTGACAGGAAATGGCAGACAGGGAAGTTTTAGGTGTCTTTCCATGACTCTCTTACCCACAAAGCCATATGCAATAAATTATGTTAAACTTTTCAAGATATTGGCCTGCTGAGCACTGAAAAATTGCACGTAATTGTTTATTTTTTGAAGTTTTTTCTCAGATTAAGGACAAGTGTTGCTTCTTGTTGTCTACATTTGTATAAATACTTGACATTTATCCCCATGCAGGCATGTTGGGGATTTATTATGCAGTTATATGTCATGGTATCCACAAAATATTTTTACAACTGTTATGCAAATATTCAAGTGTCTTTATGCAGCACCAGGGATTGCTACTGAACCAAATCCTACCCATCTTGAAATCAAGGGGATTTTGAGCATAGGTTTGTTCAGTGATTTATATCCTTGAGGTTAGGTCATACAGATGCTGTTTATAAGTTTTGGACTGCTAAGTAGCTTTAGCAATACAAAACATACAGCGTGTTGGCTGACGTCCACGGTGTTATCATCATGATAGAGAATAAAAAGCTCTTGTATCCATGTGCCTCTCCTTCAGATTTATAAAGAGCCTCTCCCCAAAGTCCAGCTTTGTTCTTGGACCACAAACTACTGCTTGGGAAAAGCTGAGGTCCATTTGCGCAAGCCTCGCTGCCTCAGAGTGTGACATTTGGAGTTGTGTTTCTGCAAAGCAGCTGTTTTCCAGCAGTTGAGCTTGGGCCAGATGCTCTCGTTTTTCATTTTAGCTTATTGCGTACATTAATTATATTTTAGATCTATTCTCGCGGCTATTTAGAGTGGCCTGCTGGGTCTCAGTCTTTAAATTGATCAGTGCAGACACCGGAATTTTCTGGAGCAGTGTTTTTCTCCTTTAGCTTGGAATGTCTTGAAAGTTGTGTAGGAGCTCATGTGCGAACATCGATTTTTGAAGCTGGACATCTATTCTTGAACATATTCAAATAAATATCCCAACGTCTCTGCATTCAATTAGAGGGAAACTGATACATCAGTGAAATGCCTATGCAAAGACTAAAATAGTCAAATGGCTACATTTCAAAGTTCTTTTCTTTAAGAATTCACTTGGAAAATGAAAGCATGTACACTGCAAGAAAAGAAAACAAATGAAATAGGTATTGGGGTACTATATATATATATATATATATATATATATGAATTTTCCTTCAGCTTAGTCTTTATTCGCCACAGCAGAATGAACTCCCAGCAAGCCAGTACTGGAAAAAACCCATACACACTCATTCACTCATACACTAGGGCAATTTAGCTTATTCATTTCACTTATAGACTTATAGTGCATGTCTTTAGACTATGGAGGAAACCGGAGTAGCCGGAGGAGACCCACACCAACACGGGGAGAACATGCAAACTCCATACAGAAATGCCAGCTGGTCCAGTCGGGATTCGAACTCGTTTTTTACTATGAATGTTTTGAAATAAAAAAAAAATTGTAATGTCAAATCTGGCATTCTGAGTAATTTTGTCTGCAAAAGCGATTCTTATTCAGCCTTAAATATCTATTAGAAAAACCTGAGACCATTGCTGACCATTGCTCTGAGAATATTTATTTTGAGTTTAATGTCACAAATCATAATGCTGGAATTGATTCATTTATTTTCAGCTTTGTCCCTTTATTTTTTCAGGGGTCACCACAGTGTAATGAACCACCAACTTATCCAGCATATGTTTTTTGCAGGGATGCCCCTACAGCTGCAATCTATCACTGTGAAACACCCATACACTCTCGCATGCACACTCTTACACTACAGCCAATTTAGCTTATTCAATTAATCTATTGATCTACTATGACCAATTCATCTATTGCGTACGAGCGGGCACAGCCATTTGAATCTTTTTGGCTCAAGAATTCTAATTCACTTCCATTCATTTCTAGATGTTAAAAACAGCTTGTTAACGCTGCTTGATGTTGTAAACTGATTTTTATTATTATATTATATTATATTATATTATATTATATTATATTATATTATATTATATTATATTATATTATATTATATTATTCTGCTTTGTCTGATTTTTCATGAACGCACTTGTTTGTAGAGCTAGTAGTTTGACTGTTTTTGCAGTTTATTATTTCTAGTCATTTCTCCCATAGGCAACTGAATCGGACGTTCCACATTGAAGAATAAGGTCAATAGCACATGTCTTTGGACTGAAGGGGAAACCACCCAGAGAAAACCCACACCATTATAGGGAGAACATGCAAACTCCACACAGAAATGCCAACTGACCCAGCAGGGGCTGGACACAGCGACCGTCTTGCTGTGAGGCGACAGTGCTAACCACTGAGCCACCGTGCCACACAAACGCTGGAATTGCCAACTACAATTACTAGTTTGCATTAAGTTTATAGACATTAAAATGTGTTTACAGACAATAAAATATTAAATACAACACAATGCAATGTGTAATGTTAAACACAAGGAAAACGCCTGTGAACATCCAAATAAATATGGATGGATAATGGATTATCACATAAATACAAAATTAAATATTCATATTAACAAATTATATTAACAAACTTGCAAAGTTACAGTTAAAATATCTTTTAATATACTGTTATGACAGTTAAAATATCATTTAAAACAGGGGTTCTCAAAGTGGGGGTTGGGACCCCTCGATGGATCGCGGGACAATGAAGGGGGGGGGGGGGGGGTCGCCTGGTGATTTTAAAAAATCTATTTATAATTCTTAAATCATATAGGAATGACCATATTTTATCCATAACCTACAGAAGAGAAAAAATATAGTCGTTTATAATTACTTTATAGTTACTTTAGTCGCTTATAGTTACTAGTTCTATTGGATTGCGACCCCAGTGGTAATTGCATTATATTAAAGACACAGCAATAGCGTCAGATGCAGCAGATTGATTTTATAACACCAGGTTAAAGTTTCTGGCCCATTTACCGCACTGACATTAAACGAAGAATATCCCTGGGTGTATTGGTGTGTGTATGACATTGCATGCAAGGTTTCTGTATTCATAACCAGGATATTGGGGGTCGCGAGTCACTGGCATCGTCATATTGGGGGTCGCAGGCTGAAAAGTTTGGGAACCCCTGGTTTAAAATACTGTTACAACTGTTAAAATATCCAAATCATAAATATTTCATTTACAAAACAAATTCTTTCATTTATGCCACTGTCTGACATATTCAGAGATATTCTGCGATATGTTATTTAACAGCGCTCAATTCAACTGTTCTTTTAGATTTCTATGATTTAGTCCTCACAATTAAAATTAAAGATGTATTGTTTCTTTATTATAATTGAAAATGTTCTCCAGCCATATTAATTCCTTTTAGCTATTTAATATTTTTGAGAGAAAAATGCACCATAAATATAATTTTTTGAATGTCAAGAGCATGACTGCACTTCTGCCTTGTAGCAGTTGTCAATAACAATACATAGAACAAGAATGGAGGAGCAAAACAATTTCCATTTGTCCAAAACACTGAATAGACTGAATGTCTTATACACAGTTTAACACCTGGCTTTTCTAAGTGCACATTTGATCAAACTAGAAACTTTAAATGAAATCATTTTCTTAAGAATAGCAAACAAAGCACATCCTCATTTTTTTTCAGGTGAGCATTTTTACATTATAGTCTTAAGTTTATTTTATTCCCCCAAGTGGTTCAATCATACTGCAGTGTTTTTCAGTCTAAACCTTTAAGGCATGCATTTTAATCTCTAAACAATTAGAAATGTATTAACCTCAACCTTTTCTTTCAGCTTCTACAACTGGAGGACGCAGAAGTCCAAACACAATAACAGCTCAAACTATGAGGTAATCACGGAGAATCCAAGCGGTCTGCTCTTCAAGTGCAAGAACGACAGGAAAATCTTGAATGTTGACCCAGAGGTGAGCAGCTTTGATAGGAGGGGTAAACAGAGTGCTGACCTCTCTCTCAGTTCTTATTTACCATCCACAAGTAAACCAACACCTGCACTATGTTTAACAGAGTATTTGTGTAATGAATCAGTCAAGCCTGATTAAGGATTAGAAAGGCCATTGTATTTTCTCTGTATTACTATTAGATACAGTTTTTTAATCCATTGATTACAGGGTTATTTCACCCCAAAATGTACATTCCATCATCATTTCCCACCCTTGTGTTGTTCTAAAACACAAAGTTTTTTTCTGTCTTTGCAAATATATATTTTTAAATCAAATTTGTGAGGTTTCTGTCGCCATTGCATTTTTTTTTCACTTAAAACTTGGATGCATAGAAAAATTCATAAAGAAATGAAAAATAAATTGATATACATATAATGCTGTACCTATGCACATTGCTGTCTAAATTTTTAGTTGAATTTTTCTAGTAATCTCAATTTACATCAGTCAAACTGACTAAAATTATGCTAAGACTGTAAAAAAGAAAAAGTTGGCTCAAGTTAAAATGACCCAACTTAAGGATTATTTTGAGTTTATTTAACTTAAACCGATTCAAGTGCAGTAAATGTGAATGTCCTGAGGTTTGTTGCATTAAAATTTTGTTTTTGAAGTTGAGTCACATTATTAACTTATTAAAAAACAATTAAAGTAACATAAAAATATACTCTCATGACTTTTTGTCATTTCGTTATGTATAGTGTAGTTTTTTTAGGGGGTTTTACCTTTATTATAAAGGACAGTGGAGTTGAGATAGGAATACTTTGGGAGCAGAGAGAGGAGGGAAGGAACAGCAAAGAACTTTGAACCAGAAATCAAACTTAGGTTGCCATGCGCATCTCAGAGCTATATGTCAGCACACTTTACCACTAGGCTATTGGCGCCAACGTAATTTAGGTTTTTATTCATATATGCTAAACATTGATCAGCAAGCACAGAAGAACTAAGCTCATTGGTTCTTGCAAAAGATCAAACATGCTGTTGTGACATTTAAAAAGGAACACCACATAAAAGGCTAAATTAAATTAGATCACAAATAGCTCTGTCACATGAAGAGATTACGTCTTTTCTGCCTTTTATGGAACTACTCAATTTTGGGTATATACTGTAGACTTTCAGTGGAGAGATCTTGCAGATATGATTAAAAATACCTTTATTTGTGTACTAAAGATGATTAAACCTATGGTTTGGAATGACACAAGGGTGAATAAATGATGAATTTTCATTTTGGTGTGAACAAAAGCGGAACAAAACCCGCATGTGCACATAAAATCCTAACAGCAACATTCAAGCTGTGAGCAGAAAGAGTCTTCGTGAAATCCTTCTATCATCATATCAAATAGCCTCCGTGTGAAGTGGAGAGATTGTATTGTTGCACCTGGGTATCATTTTTGCTCCAATCTCTCAAAATATCCATCAGAGTGGGTTAGAGCAAACCGCGAAATTCAGTCCTGGAACCTGTGCCACTATTTTTTGCCTGTGTGCCCAGGAGCTATGAGTGCATGCTATTTTGGAAAAGAGGCAACGCTGCAGACCGGCCTCTTTGAACACAAACTCGCCCAGGCTGCCTCGTTGAGGGCGAGATGGCAGAGGCGAGTATTGCCTGTGGTCGAGCACACCCCAACCAGGCCGGCTATTAAAAACGAGGGGAGGCTAAGGAACCCAGACACTGAAACCGCCTGTGCACCCAGAATCCAACCTCAGGCCCCCACCAGGCATGACCTCATTGCCCATGTGGATGCATTCCTTCATCCAAACTGGTGGAATCATGGCATATTAAACCCTGCATTTGATTTGTTTGTTTGTTTGTTTTTTTGTTCACACCCCATTCGACATAGCCAGCGATGTGAACATTTCAAAATTATAAACCCGAATTCTTCTTCTTTGGGTTATGTTCACTTTTGATGGAATCATGTTGGTTGTCCCGCCAGAGTAGCAGTTGGTGGTTTAGTCTGATAACCAGTCCTTATAAATCAACAGCTAATGCTTTTCGTTTGCTCCGTTTCATTTTTGGGGAATGTTCAGCATATGTTTGTATTTATCTTTGCTCTAAACAAAAAATCGGTTAACCCAGACAAGTTTGATGTACGGTAAATACAAAGAATGAATGTAAACCTAAATCTTCTGACATGTTACCCTTTAATAATGGATCCCAGCTGGCTTAAGATCTTATTTATTCTTGGTGGAGGCACCCTATGGAGTCCATATTTTAAAGTCACACCCACAGAGATGTTTAAACAGCAAATCAAACTTATACTGCAAGATATGCATTTTTTCTCTGCTTTAGTAATGTAAACAGACATTTGAGTTGCATCCAAAATTGAAATTCTGTGCACTGCAGTGTTTTGAACCTTAAAGATAAGTGAAAACATTAAATGTGGGATTACAGATTTATTAAGGTGCTCTGAATAATGTTTGTCTCCTATAAGTATAACCTGTGTGTAAGAAAGACTGGAAGTGTGTGTAAGAAAGGTGTGGACGATTCAGTCCACTAAAAAGCTTTTTGGCATCCATTAAATCTTGCTACGGTGCTTGAAAATACATAATTTTCTTCTGTAGAAAATTTGAGTTCACATTTTGAAAGGCTAATCAGTTTTAACACCATTTATTTATTTTCTGTAATCCAACAGAAATTACCTGGCGATAGCTCCACTCGAACTCCTGTCCAATCTGACCTATATGTGCATGTTGTCATTTATGATCACGTCATCAGAAAACCCACCACCAGATCCTGTACGCCACTCTCCAATTAAATGTATTAAAACACACAGAGTCTCTAATTTCGTCTATATAAAAACAGTGTTAATCTTACATTATTGACTTCCTTTTGTGCACAACATCTGGATGCGTAGAGTAGCACATATGTGCGTTTTGATCTATGGTTTTCATTTTCTATACTAATTCAGACTTCACTGTAAAACTATTTTGAGTTGTTTAACAAGATTTAAATACATTTATGAATACAAATTTCATTTTGTGTGTGTTTTTTTTTTCTAAATGCTTTCCCATTTTAATCATCAACGATCACACATTTGAGCCGCTAAATGACAGAGCTCTCCCAGATTGTCTGGTGATGCACTCACTTGGGAACCTGAGCCTTGCATTGTATACTCTTATCTAAAACAACTCCTCTGTTTGTCTGAACAAATCAAAGATAAATCCCTGTAGAAACATGGGGGTTCTTTCATGTCCCCGCATCACTGCTTGTAGCTTCATTTTGACTAAAAGCTGCCAAACACTTCATGAAATAGACAAGGACACACATTGAGATCATAAGATACTGCAGGGAGTTCCGGCATTAGATATACATCTGTCAATAATTTTCTCTTTGAGAATTTACAAAAAAAAGGAGTCAGCAAGATATTGCACTGCTGGTGGTTCCTGGTGGTTGCTGATGCCATCTTAGTATTTGAATGGTTCTGATTTACTCTAGCCAAGTTGGCCAAGTTCACAAGAAGGGCGATTACTGGTAGGAACAGCACATTGCTAACTTGCAAGAAAAAAATAAGGACTTTTTGTCCTTAATCAATAATTATGCAATACAATATTATTTGAAACAATCACTAAATCTGTACAAATTTAATAATTAAGTTTTTCTTATCCTAACTGAAGCTACACTTATTTAAAATATAGTGAAATGATTTTCTATTTTTAAATACTCTAAAATGAAAAAAAAAAAAACTTTCCGTTTTATTTATAAAGTCTTTGAACAGTTTTACTGAGTGTAAACTTCGGTATACATTGCTAACAATATGATGTGCATTATTAATTTTCAGTAACCCGATTTTGCAAAAAAATGGTGTCTTTATTAACAATCAATTAAAGACTAAATTGACACAAAAAAATTAATTTACTTACACTTTCAAATGGTTCCAAACGTTTCTATGTTTTGTTTTTTTGTTTTAAGTTGGAACAGCACAATTCTTGACATTTTTGGGGGACAACCTAATTGTTTTATTTCCATTCCAATTCAATTTATTAAGTTAACTTGATTGATTTGTGATTGATTTGCATGTTCGCATGCTATTGGAAAAATCTGATATTGCTATATTTTATTTTTCTGTGATAAATATTGTGATATGAATACAGTTTCACAAGATACTTTAAATGGCACCATTTGATGTTTTTCTGGGGAGCCCAACCATATTCAGGTACAGAAATTGAATAATCACAATTCAAAATAAACTTTTCTCACTTTGCTTTATCTCGTTTCTATCCAAATATCAAATTATTTCTTAAATCATGTAAAAATAAAGTTTGTTTTTCAACTTTAGAAGAGTTTTTTCCCTTAAAACAAGCTAACTTTTCTGCCAGTGTGGTAAGCAAAATAATCTGGTTTTCACTTTGAAATGTACATATTTGGACTAGGAACAAGAAACTTTTTTTTTTTTTTTTTTTTTTTGCATAAATCAAATACAGTAATTAAATACAATTTTGTAGCTCCTGGTCTACTATAATTCAGACTGAACATTGCATATCTTGCAATGTGACTATTGCAGGTGTGCACATTGCGATATTGATGCTGAAGCGATATATCGTGCAGACCAAATGTCCAACATACCTGATATTAAACTTAATATCACATAATCAGTCTGACAGAAATAAAAATAGATTTACCATGTGTGTGTACCTACATAAAGTTTCTGTTTAATCACCAGGATGGGGGCTTCAAGAAGTGGGTGGTGATTCCCCCACATTCATAACTGTTTGAGTTAACAGGCCACAGCCCTCATTCATGTGGTGGAGTGGCAGTGTGATGAAACTACCCACTCCAGTCCCTCACAACTGCACAGCTCATTCATACACCTACAAATCAACACAGCAGATGTGCTTGTGAAAATCTGGCTCCCACAGTGGACGTAGAGAGAGCTAGTGGCAAAATAAAACATGATAAATATAGGTTATAGGGCGCAGGCCACTTTTTCCCTTCAGTACAGCAATTACACTTTGGACAGATCTGAAAAACCCGTATCTTGAAAATAAGTCCCCTGGCATCAGATGTCTGGAGTGGGAGTCAATCACTTCCTCCTCAATGCTCTTGAAAGAGAGACCGTGACAGAGGATATTGAGGCCGTGCACGCGGGGCTGCGGTGCGGAGGGGTCGCGGTGCAGCATCCGGATCAGAGTCCGCTGTGCAGGATGTGTCTGCTCATCGCCATTGAGCTCCACTAAATGGGACAGAGAGCCTTTAATGCTCCACATAAGCCATGTCATTCAGCGCGTCAGTCCAGACACACAGCTTTGCTGAGAGACGTTTCGCGGATCTCACTGTCGAGCATTACAACACGCATCCACATGACTGGGTACACAGCGCGCAGTGTGCGATGAAGACGTAAATGTTTTGATGCACTAACCTGCGCGATAAATAATGCCATTTGTGCAGTAACTAGGCCTACGTTACGGCTGAGTTTTTTTTTTTTGTCTCAGTCACACATACTTCTGTTTTAGAAGAAGAGCATGCTGGTAGTAATAGAGAGCGAATCAAATCTTTTCAATAAATCACTTGATGAAGTTCACAAAACAAGTGTTTCGGTTTTGAATCGGGCGGAATGAAAACGAGCGATTTAGCAAGTGCTGAAGTCTCCTACCAAAGTTATACACCTATTAAAACTATTGTGAAATAATATTGCAATCCAAAACAACCGTTTTCTGTTTTTAAATAGTTTACAATGGTTCTTGAATTGGACGGAATGAAAATTAATGAGCAATTATTTAACCGAGTCTTTTGAAGTGAATCTTTTGGACAAGTCTGGCTGCTTAACTGATCATTCAACTGTGAGACCATGAAAAACCACATGCCATTCTAGATCTAGGCTTTTTTTCTTCAAGGGCATTAAAATAAGGACTTTTGGCTGACACTGGTCCTTGGTGATTCATAAGCCGACACTTTTAGAGTCTAAAGCACATGCAGGAAGATTTTTTTTCTGTATTGGACTTAATTGAGAAGCTGTAAAATTGTGAACAAACTGCAAACAATGTATGAAATAAAAAAAAACTATGAAAATCCTATACCCATTAATAAATACAAAATTCTGAGAGGTTGTTTACAAACTGGTTAGTTTTCTAGCCTAAATAAATTTGTTTTTTTAAAACGTTAAAAAACAGGTTAAACTAAATAATTGTATAATAAAGTGTCAATGCAAATTGTATTTAATTAACAAATGGATTATATTTTATGTTATTTTGACTTCAACAATTTGAGCAGAGCTTTCACGGAGTACTCGAGAGTGCACGTGACCTACATCAGTCCCTTTATTGAACCGGTTCTTTGAAAAGAACCGTTCAAAAGAACCGATTCGCAGAATTAGTCGGACTTCCCAATAGTGTCCGAATGCGCCCATAAGCCTTATATATTACTAGCGCGACACGCTTTACCTTCAATGAACGCAGACAAGAGGCGCGATTGGCTGAGGACAGCATCGCTCAGATACAAAACCGAGGATCAAGCCTGACCATCAAGACTACAGCAGATCAAACCCACACGGACATCATTTTACACAAGGACTGAATTCTGCTGCATGAACGTCGATCTTTGGAAACTTGCATATGGACTATTATGTTGAGTAGCCTACACCAAAGTGACATCTCGTTTAACTTTCTTTTTTTCATTTTCTCACCCTTTTTGCCTTATTTCGGGGGCCCATGTGATGCTCTCCTTCTCAAGAGACAAGAGTTTGTTTAGGTATTCAGCAGCACTGATACACTACACCTAGATCAGCTTCCATAGTCCCGCACCTCCAGCATGGATCGCTGTCAGCGGCTGTTTGTCCTCCTGTTGGGATGCGGTTATCTGTGCTGTGGATACTGTGCTGTGCTTAAAACGCCTGTCATGGGGTTCTCTAAAGATGTGCAACTTGGACAAAAAGCAGAAGAGCCAGAGAAGCAGCAAGTGAAGAAGAGCGAGCAGGATACGCTGTCAGAGCACATGCAGATGCTCTACGCCAAATACACCAGCGCGGGATTCCCTCTCAAAGACGGAAACACTGTCCGCAGCTTCAAGGGCCATTTGGGTAAGTGTTCAATTGATTATGTTGTAATTGACTAAACAGATCCATGCAATCGTCATGTCACGTTTGAAAAGGTTTTCAATAGTGGCTTGTTCGTTTTGCGCTTCAACTGACGGAATATTCAGTCAAAATAGTCAACACAATCTGTCTGCGTCTTATCTCTGTTTGAATCTATTGTTTCCATTACATTGTTCTCTTATATCTAAACCAAAGAGATTTTTCGGAATGTGCAGATGATAACTAAAGCAGTGAGCCACTAAATAAAACAATAAATTGATTTAGTGAACTATCTCTTTAAGAGTTGGTGCTATTACACCTGTTGGTTTGGTTTTGCACGAGACATCAGCTCTAGTTGAACAGCCTGTCCTGTGGCGTTTCATAAATCATTTCACAAGTTGGTTTTAAGACTTTATTGTTATTGGATGTCACTGAGTGAGCCAGCTGAACTTTTTTTTTTTTCTACGGAGTTGTTGACCAAACAAGCGAGTGTCCGTCTTTAGCATTTGCAGGTGGATTTAGCGATTCTCGTTTAGTTAAATCATGTTTCAGGTATGAGATGTGATGTTTATTGAACATTAATCGCTGGTTTGACAAATATCTTTTGCTCGCTCAGGCTGAGACGCTGATAGTAAAACTGCACTAGTGTTGCCAGATCTCTCCTTCACAAAAACCCAAATTAAGCGACAAAATTAGAAACAATGTAGCGTTGTTTACTAAAGTCTCAGGAAAAAAAAAGTTTAAAAAGCGGTCACTGTATTTGTTGCATTTGAGATGTATTATTAGGTACTTATATATACATTTTATATTCTAATTTAAATATAGTCTAGGAGTAAATAAAAGACTTATAATGGCATTGGGCAGAGTTCAACTTTGCTTTAATGAGTTGTTTGCGCACCGCTAGACAGAAAATCCACTAAATAGCGCTGCCCCGACTTCACACATTTAGCCTATAAGCGACTGAAAAAAACGGCTAAAGTGGCTTATTGATTAGACATGGCAGCCCATGCACCTATAGCGCCCTCTGGTGTTTAGTTCGTGGTCTCGTGTGCTTGTATTTGCGCTGATTTCTTTATCTGTTGCTTAAGTAGAGAAAATACTATTCAGCACAGAATGTACAATAGTCTTTTTTGTTGCATTAATGTTACTGTGGTACAAAACTACATGCAGTAGCCTAGTTATAATCAATTCATGACGTGGTAACCACTTTTTGACCACAGACCTGAAAATGAATTTGAAAATCTTAAATGCGTTCGTGTAAAGACTTAAGTATGGTCTCTTTTTTTAAAGATGTGTGGCAGGTTATTACTGAAGTGGGAATTGAAAAGTGGCTATAAGTTATAAGTGTTGTGAAAACATGGTTTTGTTTTCATAAATATATATTTTAACTCTACAGTTTAATATTAAAGACACAAATTCAAATGTGATGTTGATATTCAAATAGATTTAGCTACATTAGGATTCTGCTTGGGCACAGTACCAAACAATATAGGTAAATAAACATGGTTTCATCAACTACACAAGTGTTTCAGGACTACTTCAATTTTTAAAGTCATGTTTTGTGTGTTTGTACTGGTTTTGGTTGCTTACAAGAACAGAAATGTGTATAATGACATGACCTTACACTCTATTAAGTTGAGTTATAAGAACATGCATTGTGTCCTCGTAATTCATAACATTTAAGAATCATACTTAACAGGGTCTTTTCACATTCAAAATTTGCTACAGGTTTTCTGTGAGGTTTTAGGCGTAGGGCCATATAATAAGGACATATGTAATACTGAGTTAAAGATTAGTGGTCATAAATCAGTGAAAAGTCCAACAGAAAAAGGTTTTGTTTAGTTTAACAGTGATAGATTACTTGAATTTGTTTTTTGTTTTTGGATCCCTATCAGGAACCATCAACAATAGGCAGTTGCAGATCTTTAACCTCACATCCCTCACCAAGTCTGAAGATGTTCTCTCAGCGACGCTGCACTACTACATTGGTGATCTTCACAACAGCAGCCACAGATGCTCAAAACACAAGAGCTGTGCTCAACACAACCTCAGAAGACAAGCTCACGTTCACCTTGACGTCTGGAGCTTCAGCTTAGTGAAAAACACAACTAGAACCATCGGCCATTTTCCAATCAACATCTCCACGATGCACTGGGACTTCATATCATGGCAGTGGAAAGACATCACTCGTGTGGTCAACCAAGCCAAGCATCACGACCAGCTCCTCATAGGCATTAACATCAACTCCAGAGGGCACCAACCCTGGAAGAAACTCTTGTCAGACCGATCTCCTTACATTCTAGTCTACGCAAATGACTCAGCCATTTCTGAACCTGAAAGTGTGGTGTCCACCCTTCAGAGACACAAAAGCAGACTGTTGCCCAATCTTCATATGCTGGAATCGCATAACCGCAACGCATCCGCACAACATCGAAGCAGACGATCCACCAACATCCTCCTTCCACTGCAGAACAATGAGCTCCCAGGTCCAGAGTACCCTTATGAGATCCCTACATGGGATGAGGCCAGCCCTTATGATCCGATGGAGAGCAAAACTGTCAAGCGGCCCCGCAAGAAGCCTCGCAAGAACCCACGACACAAGAACCCGCTCCTGCAGTTCGATGAGCAGACCATTAAAAAAGCTCGCAAGAAGCAGTGGAACGAGCCCAGGAACTGTGCTCGCAGATATTTAAAGGTGGACTTCGCTGATATCGGCTGGAGCGAGTGGATTATCTCACCAAAGTCGTTTGATGCGTATTACTGTTCTGGATCATGTCAGTTCCCCATGCCAAAGGTAAGTTGTCTACTTTACAGAAATCCACGTGTTTTTTAGTCAGTTATTTAGGATTTACCTTAAAGTTAGCAAGAAGCTAATATGTGGTACCATTTAAAGGATTACTCCACTTTTTAGGAAATTGGCTTATTTTACAGTCTTCTAGAGGTAAACAGTTGAGTTTTTTCCATTTTTGAATCCATTCAGTCGATTCCCTGGTCTAGCAGGAGCACCTTTAGCTTAACTTAACATATATAATTAGACCGCATTAGACCATTAGCATCTCACTCAAAAACAAAAACAAGCATTTGATAATTTTTTTTTTGTAAAGCTCAATTCTTCTGTAGTTACATCATGTACTAAGATCTTTGAAAAATAAAAAGTTGCTATTTTCTAGGCTAATATGGCAAGGAACTATTCTCTCACTCCGGTGTAATAATCAAGACATTTGTCTGATGTACCATGGCAGCAGCAGGCACATAAATATTATGCAAGAATGGTTACCTACACTATAAAACAATCCGTAATTTTACAGTTTATTTACGGCAGCTGGGGTACAGAAATTTACCGTAAAATAATGGACATTAAATTACAGAAATTTCCTTAAATTGAAATTTCTGGTAAATTTTAGTAATTCAACCTGTGCTATTTTACAGTAAATTTCTGTAATTTAACAGCTGCTATTATACTTTTTTTTTTCCGGCACCCCAGCTTCTAGAAAAAAAACGTAAAATTACACATTTTTTTTACAGTGTAGCTAGGCACTAAAAAGATAGTATAGTTCCTAGCCATATCGACCTAAAAATTGCACCTTTTCATTTTCCATAGGTCTAAGTACATGATGCAACAACAAAATGTCATTGTTTAAGATGCTAATGGTCTAATCAGATTCAATGATCTATGCTAAGCTAAGCTAAAAGTGCTCCGCTAGATCAGCTGAATGAAAATGGCAAAAGTCATTTGTTCAACTCTAGGTGACTTGAAAAATGCACCTATTTCTAAAAAAGTTGAGTGTTTCTTTAATATGCTTGTCTGTCATATACTTGACCACAGCAGTAGAGAAAAGCAAAGATTCTGGCTTGAGAGAAATAATAATTTTTTAAAAGGCTCCATCTAGTGGCCGTCTGGATAAAGAGCCGTAAATCTTTCCAGTTGACACTGCGGGCAGAACAGCAGTTCATTCAGTATCCATTATCACACCGTACATGTCGTTTGTCATCATAAAACTGCCACTGTAAGAGATTTCTACCAAAGGCCTTTCATCTGGGGTGTTTTCTGTGCTACAATCTGACCTAAATAAATAGAGGTTTTACTTTATAATGTATTTGTTTGATGATAAATATTCAAAACAAAAAAAGTAGAAGTTTACTCATTTCAGCACATTAGGGTAGCACAGTTGAATCAATTATTAATCATTTATCAGCACCAGTGGTGCATATTTAATAGTGCATTTCCTACGCCAAAAACAGTTATTGAAAGATAATGTTTAAAAACACAGAGAACAATATTTAATAGGACAAATGAAATAATGATGTCAAATCAATTTCTATTTCTCATACTGTACATTGTATTACTGCATATAAGTTCAAAATAATTGATTTCCATGTTTTATTTTTAGTTTATTTTGATGGAATGATATAGAAAAAGGACCGGACCTATAGAAATATTAAAATTCGTACAAGAATTTAAACATATTTGTACAATTTATTGTTTATTGGACAGAAATGTATAAGTAGTATTATTTTATTATTTGTATTAATATTTTGAAGTCATTTTTATTTTTGCATTTTATTTTTAATTTTAGCTCAATTTCTTATGCGCTTATATGAAATTTAATTAGTTTATATTATATAAATATTTTATTTTATTCTAGTTTTATCAAGTCATTTTAGCACTTATTTCAGTTAGTTGCAACTAGAATTTACATTTTATTTCAGCTTTTTTCAACAAATAAATACATTTCTAAAATGTTGAGGAAAAAAATCGTAAACACTTTTAAATAGTTTTAGTAAAATAAACGTATTACCACATGTAAACTACATTTTTGTGGTTTTGTAAAATTCAACTTGATGTTCCAACTAGGCGTGGGCCGGTATAAGATTCTGTTAGTATGATAACCTTGGATATAAATATCACGCTTTCACCATATCGTGATTACTGCTCTAAAATATGTTGTTTTTAAATGTGTGGGTAAAAACTAAAACTTTTTCCCCTTTTAACACAATATATCCTATTTTAAGAATCATTTTAAATATTTTGTAACAGTAAACATGTCAGACTAAATAATTCCAATAAATAATTGACTTTTGCTGTCTTCATTCGTTTCAAAAACACAGATTTCTTTACAATTTAAAATGGTATCTTTTCTGCTGTAGATACCGTTGTCCTAAAAAAAAAACTAAATAAACGTAAATAAAAAAAAAATCTGATATATACCTTAGGAACGGTATATTTATTTTGACTTTTCCAAACCAAAGTATACCTTGAAAATGGTTATCGTGTCATGCCTAATTCCAACACTGTAATATTACTTAAAAATGACCTTTCAGTTCATTTTGATTAAACTCAAAAATGTTCAACAACAGGCATCACATAGCAGGACTAACTTTGAATAATTCTGAGTAAAACAATACAGACACCGGATCATTGATATTACAAACCTAGAACAATACAAACATGTTTTTTAAACACACCTCCTGAAATCAAATGTGCTTAACCTCTTTCCCTCTCCCTTCAGTCTCTGAAACCTTCCAATCACGCCACCATTCAGAGCATCGTGCGGGCAGTCGGTGTGGTGCCGGGCATCCCGGAGCCCTGCTGTGTGCCCGAAAAGATGTCATCCCTAAGCATTCTCTTCTTCGACGAAGACAAGAACGTGGTCCTCAAGGTCTACCCTAACATGACAGTGGACTCCTGCGCCTGTCGGTAAACCCCCACCCCACTCTCTTCCTCCAGCCTCCCTCCTTTAAAACTCACTCCCAATGTTTGCACTGGAAGAAAGACTGAAGATGTTTCTTTCACCATTCTTGAAGAACTGTACAGATGTGAGGATCGTGAAGAACATACGCTTTTCCAGAAGGAATTCCTTACTGTTTCGCAGGAGGCTTGAGATTTGAGCAAATGAAGAGACTGTTTGTCTGTCTGTCTGTGTTTGTTTGTTTGACCAGGACGTTCTCATGTTTCTATAACCTCAGCAGTTTAGCATTTAGGGATAAACATTTGCTGTCACCATCACGTTTCTGTACAGTTCGTTTAATCTGTCATTATTATTATAGCTTTATTTTTGCTACAGAGGCATTGATTGACTCTCTATGTTCATATTCTATGGCTGCTATACATAGGTAGGATTTACTCCAGAGGCCAAATGTGCTGAAAAGTGGACCTTTGGGGTCGAAAAAAAAAGAAAAGGAATCTCTATTTGTTACAAAAAATAGCCTATATATATATAAATATCAAAGTGATTACTTATACAAGTTACTTACAGTACATATTCAGTTTTCCACATTAAGCTTAAAACAGTGTTTAATTTCTGTGTGACTCTGTTTTGAATGTCTTCAATCGTCATAAAACATATTTATTTTTTCCAAAAATGTCCATTGTTACGAGCCCTTATGTAAGAGTGTTACAGCACGTTTAAGTTTTGTTTAAGATGCTTGCATTTGTAAATATTATGTTTCCGTCAGACCTACTAATACAAGGTTACATCCTTACATATATATGAATATGTTTTATTTTAATGTTGGACAACTATTATTCTGCCGTTATTCGAAGAAAGCGTTTGATTTTAAGAAGCCACCACTGGTTTTATGCTTTGCAGATTCAGTAGATCCAAAAGCATGGATCTTTCTTAAAAATAGTTCAGAAATATGAACTATTATTCACATCTAAAATATGTATACTGTATGATGAATGCCAATCCAGATGCTATCGTATTAGCAGTGATATGTTCAGGAAGGTAGTTATGAAAATTGTATGTTAGCTTTTGCCTTAACACAACGATGCCTATATAAAGTGCCTTACCACATGAAAACGTACATTAAATCTAGTGAATATTCTACTACAATATTTATATTTCATAAAGATGACTTATGTAAATGTCTTATTTTGAAAGGATTTTTTCAGATTATTTGGATAAAAATGTGACGTTTGTTCCAGTAATGCTTTCTGTCCACATTTTGTACTGTTGAAATTAGCATAGATTACACATCTCAAGCTGCATGTTCATGAATGGGGGCTAGTGGGATTGATTTTTATTTTTTTTTTTGTGACGTTCAACCTATGGACTACAGAGAACGTATATGTAAAAGTGGGCTATTATCTTAATATATAACACATACGTCGAAACACTATGTAAAGCACTCCTTTAGCATTTGTGTAATATATTTTTGGGAAGGCCTCCACCACACTGTGTGTTTTGTAAATGTTATTCTGTAGGTGAAAGGATGTGCTTTGTATGATAAGCTTCATAAGAAATTATATTTGTATATGGAAATGACCTTTAAAAAGCATTTATTTATTTTCTGTATGATGCCTTCTGTGTCTTATTTTTGTGAAGCGCAGAGGGGCTTCATTAAATATTCATTGAGCTTTGCTGCGGAAAGGTTAGACAGGGGTGCAAAAGGAAGCAGTCGCATGTCGAATGAGTGAAAATGCTTATTTTTGTAACACGTCTCCCGAGTTGAAAGGATCCCTTTTTAGCAAGGAAAACTCAATAAAGTTTTAAGAATTATGTAGCCTTGTGTTTATTTATCATGAGGTTAAAGCCCTCTGGCTTTAAAGCAGAGCTTTACTGAATATCGACTGCACTGTTATGCAATCAGAAATTATGCTGAGACCGTTGCATCATGGAACATGATGTAAATTGCTTAATGGGTCGATAATTTCTGGAAGGTTACCACACTAACATCAGTCGATTATTTAATAGCTACAAATCACTAGTGTGTGCACTAACCGCTGGATTTGAAATGCTCTGCATACAAACATTAAGAAATGAACATATTTATTACATTTTTTTTATTACATGACTTAATGAAATCCAAATAAATTTTAAATTTCTTTCAGAATCTGCTGGGAAGACTCAAATAAATCTAAATTCTTACACCTATAAATTACACAGTTCAATAAAATAACTAAACATCAAGTATAACATGAACACAAACATATTTGGCTCAGATTAGAGTCATCGTATAGCCTACACTTCACCCAAAAATGAAAACTAAACTGAATTTACTCAACCTCAAGCCATCCAAGATTACCTTAGCTGAGACACTGTGATCTGAAACTAAATTATTGGTTTGTGCAAGAAACTTGATTATTTACAAGATTATTTACAGGTTTATTATAACCTTTGAACCCTTTAAGGGCTGTTGGTTGAAGGTAATAATGTAAATAACGTTCTTTCTGTTCTTTCTAATCTCTGCAGTTCTTTCATAAGGTGTCAAGTTATGACCAGGAGTCGGGGTTAAAATTATTTTTAATTTAGCCCGCATGCTTCATTGTTACTGTAAAAGTGTCATCAGCTGTTTCCTTCTATTGTACGAGTCATCATCAGTGAGCACGGTTTCAGTGAGAATGTTCTTTGTTTTGTTGACAAAAAAAGTCACCTGCTTTGATTGAGGTAAAATTGGTTTTATATTCAAACATTTAGACTTTCTCCATAATAATATAATTTCATAAAAATATTCATTGACAATTCTAAATAGTAAAATCATATAAGCAACCAATGACACAAAGTACAGCCTTCTCCACAGTCAATTAAATAGTGCTAATGTTGCTTTCAAGTCATACTTGCATAATATTGTATGTCACAAGTTGTCACTGAACGAATTATAAATATATAAAACCAACGTTACCTCAATCCTGCTTTGCATCATATTAAATCAGTGGTTTTCGAACTTTTTTGACTGCGGCCCTTTTTTTTCTTTTCAAACTGACGGCGACGCACATATTCAACTGCATTTTACACACATTTAGGCTACATACAATGGATATACATACATACACGCATGTGTGTGCATAAACAACTTACATTAATTGGCCTGATGGGCCTGCTTATTTTGATCCCAAACCAGGGCGTCAGAGCAAAACGCATGTCCAGAAAAGCATTCGACTTGTTTCCTCTTCATTCTGGTTAAGCCTGGCTGAGAGTCCAGTTTTACACTTTTAGGTCACTATAGTTTATAAAAAGTAGTAGCAATGAAACTCTTCCTTTGTTCCATATCGGAAACACGGTGGAAAAACAAACTGATCCATTTTACTATTTGTTGCGAGTTTTTCAACATGCCGTCAGGTCAGCTGCAGCATTTCTTACTGTTCTTCAGGGGTTAAAATAGTCCAGCAATTTAATCTAAGTATTCAAAATCAAATGCGGTAGTCGACGAACCGCTTGTCTTTTAACTCACTGAACTTCTTAACGAGAAAGTAGCGAGAGAAATTCCCCGTTCGTGCATCCAAGTGTTACTGGATCAGTAACAGTCAGCTGTCGTTTTCTGGGATAAATCAGTTTCTTCAATATGTTATATCATTGTCGGAACAGGGAGCCTCAGGATTTGAGTCGAAGCTGCCGCAGTTCAAGTAATTTTTGGAAAGTCTGAATTTGTTTGGAATGTAGGCTATGAAAATATTGTCCTCACTATGCGCCATGTTAAAAAGCGTGATAGCACGTGCGCGTCAGGTGACGAAGATTTATTATTTGTTTCGCATCTATTTTAATGTAGATTCAATCAAAAGTTATCCTAATTGTTGTTGTTATATTGTAATTAAAAGACCATTAATAAATGTTATTGCACTTCCTTAAATCATCCTGTGCCCCTGGATTTGAAAACCTTTATTAGATGGCCTGGGGGTGAATAAATGAATATTTCATTTTCAGGTGAATAGACCCAAAGGCTCGTTCACACCAACAACAATACATATAAAAATATTTATAGCATCAACACCAATGCAATATACAGTATATACACTCACTCTTTTTCCTTTGGCTTATCCCCTACTTTATCAGACGTTGCCACTGCAATGATTGACCAGTTACCCTGGCACATGCTTTACTGGTGAATGCCCTTCCTGCCAAAACCCTGCACTGAGTGCACTACTTTACAACACCCAATGGTGGGAAACACCCATACACTCTCAAACACACACACACAGACGCACTATGTCCAATTTACTTTATCCAATTGACCTATACTGCATATCATTGAACACTGGCGCACCTACAGTATAGACCTTTTTCTTTATTGCTGCATGGAGACTCATAGCGACCACTGTCTTCCTGTAGGATGCTTAGAACTTCCGTTTACAGCATTTTTTGACTGGTAATTATCGATCCAAAAGTGGATTGTCAATACCATTTTGAGTGGATTATGGAGTGTTTTTGCAATGCACAACTTTTTTGATTTTGAATGATGTGTGTTAGCCGTTATACTGTAAATACTGTTATACTGTACTTCTTATCTGTCAGATAAGATGTTGAAATACAGAGTAAGTGTTCCTGACCAGTCATCTGTTATACTGTGCTCAATGCGCGCACACACATAACACACAATACATCACTGTATTACAGAGCAAACCATATTACTGGCATGAAACTTCTAAAACGTATCTTACTGATACTCTGCTGGCTGTTGGATTACCAAGTGATTTTCTGTCATTTCAAAATGCCACTTTATTTTCACTTTGTGCCACTCTTTCAGTGTGTTAGTGTGTTTGTTTGGGTTGGTTATATATATAAAAAAAGAAAATGTTGACTTTAGTGATGAGGCTCCATTTAAGTGGCACAAGATGCCATCTGACGATGACTTGTTTTACATTCCTATTAGATTGTATTTTTTAGATTATCAGTCCAGAAGGTGGTGCTAATCAACAGCGGTATCAGTTTAAAAGACCATAAAAGCAATGAAAATCGATTAAAAAAACTATAGTTTCAAAGCAATCCAAATTTGACTCTATACGCATAAAGCTGCCGACCGAAATTCGAAGCATCCTCCCTCCACATACACGCAAAGCATAATGGGTAATTTTACGTTCTATGAAAAAGGTCTATGCAGTACCCATGCGGAACACTAAGAAAAGCAGGATGGATTCTGATTGGCTGTCCTGAAAAAGTTCTTAAGGGCTCTGTATACTTGAAATGTAGTTCTTTTTCCATCCTCGTTGGGGGGCAAATTCAAGTTCAAAAAGGTTGTGAGACGGTATAAAGTTTTCGAACATTGTGTTGCAGTAGGCAAGGTGGTAAATGTGTCATGCTCCTTGTGTGTAAACAACACAACAATAATGGCAGCTGAGAGAGATGAGATCAGATGTGAAGTGCCCCCAAGACATGCCACATTTTTACATTGTATTTTATTTGCTGCAAATAGACACTGAATGTAAAGGGGGTCGCACATCGGATGCGCCACTCCACAACGAGCTGCATTGCACCATGCAGCACAATACATTTTAGAATTTTAAGCATATGTTTTTATCGGTACGAACACCGGCACTGCAAGTCGGTGGCAGTCCGCAGAGCCCAGCCACGACTCAGGACTTTGGTGAGCTGTTTTGAACTATTTATTTGAACTATTTAATTTGAAGTATACTTGGGCCTTAAAATAAATTTTAAACATATCTTTCCTCTGCTTTTGTCATAGTTTAGTCTGTAATCATTATATCTGGAGTGACTTTTCAAGCCATATCTTTATCATCAGCACTATAAGTTATTATCCTTGGTGTGATCAGGCCTTTAGACTCTAGACGCCTTTCGCCCGCTGAGGGTAACCTTTGAAAGCTCATCAGGGCATTCGGTCACAGTCGCGGGTGGTTATTACCTTCAGCACCTCAAATACATGACATCACCAGCTCTTCTAAAACGAGGAACATCTCACCTTCCTGTCAAACCACAGACCTCTCCACACGTCCAAAAGTAAATATTACCAATGGTTTCACACCATCCTCCACGATCCCATCATTCTCACAGGCTGATCCTGCTATGACATGTCAGTGGTCCAGCTTCTGTCAAATATGTTTACCATCACAATGCATGAGAACATGAAGACAGCGAAACAATTTGTTTCTTATGTCTCTCCGCCTCTGCTCTTCACCCTCCAGTCAAGGAGTTCATTGTTGGGGCACATGAACTGCTTCTGTTGGCGTCATGGGCTGAGGATCAGCTGAAGAAAGGCTAGCAAATGACAAATGGCACAAGAGTTTTGTTTGAACACATGGGTGCATCAGGGGGTCAGTTAGAAGTCTGTGTCCCAGCCTGACATTTCATCTGGAGGGATTTCTTCTTCAGGAGGATAACTATCAAAGTAACTGTGGTCAGTGGGTCCCTTCACCTGAAGAAAAAAGAAAGATGGAAGTGAAAATATGAAACTTTACTGTTCAAAAGTTTGAGGTCAATAAGGGTTTTCCATTTTAACCATTTTACTGCATGCTCAAACAAATGGTTGACCATGTTTTTACTGTTTTAAATAAAGACTGTTTTATATAATTGTTACACATACATTATTGTTGATTTACACAAAAAAAACTACACTTGATTTTGGTTTTATTGTAAAAATAAACAAACTAGAAAACATGTTAAATGACAATCTGAAATATTTTTTTTCTAAATAAAGATAGTTTAGTATTCAAAAATTTTTATTCTGAATATTTTTAAATACATTGGTCTTACACTTCTTATTTTCTGATTTTTCATAGTATATGTAGTAAGTCCGGTACTTAAACCATAAAATCGACATATCAACAATTTGGTATTTTTGATATTTTACAAATTATGGGATGTGTTAAAAGAAATGTATTGAGTGTGTTAACTAGCAACGTTAGAAGTTAAGACATGCTATCCAGAAAACATTTTTTGGTGGGGCAGTTAAAGAGTTAAATCATTTTTTTTCTTTTATTCAACATGACAGGGAAGGCATTTCTAATATAGTTAAAGATTTTTATTTCAAATAAATGCTGTTTTTTTATCTTTCTGATTATTATTAAAAATAATTTTAACGTTTATAATATTACTACAATTTCTTGAGCATCAAATCAACACATTTCTTAAGGATCATGTGACACTGAAAACAAGTTATGAAGCATGAAAAGCTGTCATCACAGGAATAAACTACAATGGAAAACTGTTATTTGAAATGGTAATATTTATGTTTTACTGTATTTTTGGTCAAATAAATGCATTGCCAACTTCAAACTTGTAAACAGTGGAGTATACAGCACAGTATGATACTACATTAAAATGACCTCTAGACAATGAGTTTGTGTCTCTTACCTCTCTTTTAAGTGGTGATATCAGATTTCGGGCTTTCAGACCACTCCAGCTAAAACCTGTAAACCATCTAAACACCAAAAACAACATACTGCCTTATTATAAATGAAATGCCTTTAAGTGACACTGACACAGATCTCAAAGTTAGTGTTTGTGGATCATGCCCACTTTAGAAGTGCCAAATGCATATATAATGTTTCCTAACATCATAGAAATCGTTAGCAAATGCAAAAGAGTAAACATCCAAGAAATTAAAGTAAGGAAGCATTTATTAAACACAATGCTGTGTTGTCATTTATGTCACAATTTTGACTGTTTTTCTTATGTGCGTGGTCATTTTAGAGATAATCTAATGTAAGCAACAGCATGGAATGCACTGTAATGTACATTATTCTGCTTATTTTTGTAGTGTAAACCAAGTAAAAGATGTGTTAGTTGGTAAATCACAGATGCCCACACTCAGTCCTGGAAGATCAGTGTCTTGCATAGTTTTGCTCCAACTTGCATTAGGTTAGGTGTGTCCAATTGAGGTTGGCGCTAAACTATGCAGAACTCTGACCCTCCAGGACTGAGTTTGGGCAGCCCTGTGCTAAATCATCTAGAAAAGAACTATGCAGAAAAAGGTGCACTACTCTGACTGAATTTAATAGGCTCTTTTCTGTTTGACTTGTCATAACCTTTGGCAGGCTTTAAGAAAACAATAATTTGGTTCAGATCAATAATGTGTGTTAGAAATTCTTACTCTTTAAATAAAATGATGTACATTTTTGGTATATAGATCACAACACTTTCAAGCCTACCCCATTCACAAGTATCTGCTAAAATGACTAAACCCCTCTAGACTTTACATATAATAAACATTCACAAAATCATGTTTTTGTAGTTTACCAGGAGACAATAATAGTGTAGTTATCAAAAATCCAACTTTTCAGACCTACAAAACCCCATTGCTGTGTAAATGAACAAGCAAAATGCTTGAAGGTTTTGCTTTTTAGATAAAACGCTGTAGTGTAAATGTCACCCTTGTGAGTTAAACAACAGATGTTGGTGCAAACTGTTTTCTCACCTGTGCTTTTTAATATCAGTTATTCCATTCTTCAGGTTGCCCAGTCGCTCTGAAGGGTTTTGTCTTCATGAAATAAAATTAGACAACAAAACAATATTATAAAATATTGCACTGGGACCCAAACAGTTGCAGAAAAGAGGCGAAAGACATAAGATTGAGTAATGAATGATGCATGATCATACCTGCACAGCTTTCGAATAAGGTCACCTGGCCTCTTGGTGATCTTTTTCGGGAAGTCCATCTTCTCAATTCCTTTCAGAATGAATGTATATATAATCATCTGATCTGAGCCAGTAAAAGGCGGGCTTAAGGAACAATCAGATCAGATATGTCTCTGTTAGTTAGAGCACATCTTCCTCCACACTGTATTTATGACAAAAAAGTAAAAAGTTAAGCTGAAACAAACCTTCCAGTAAGAAGTTCAAATATCAGGATTCCTAAAGACCAGAAGTCGACACTAAGCCCGTGGCCTTTATTGAGGATGATCTCAGGCGCCACATACTCTGGAGTCCCACAGAATGTCCATGTCCTCTGGCCACACTTCAGCTTCTTGGCAAAGCCAAAATCCACCTGACAGAAGATAATAAAGGACTTTTCAAAACTCAAAACTTTGACACATCTAGCTCAAAACTCAGCTTTAAACCACAAATAAAGGAAAAATTCACACTTGTAATTCAGAAGCAGGATTAATGTGTTAAATTCTCAACCTGAATGAAGAAGAGACATTCTTACATTTATAGTCATTCAGAAAAAAAAAACTTGCGCAAACGGAAATATGTAACATGACATAAGCACATAAAATGTTAGAGCCTTTATGTAAACAGGTCAAATGCCACAATCACCCAATTGGTGACATTGCAAATATGCAAATAAGGACATTTAAAATGGTTAAGAATGTAAAGTGTAAAACGTTATCATATGAATACATATAAAAATTTACATGCATTTAATTATATCACTTCCACAAAACAAATTCAGTATACCTCTAAATGATGCACTAAAACTGTATAGTATGCAAATCTACTTTAATTAAATAGTAATTTAAACAAGTAAATCATCACATTTTTTCATTATGCATCCTTTATATATTAATGTCTTTGCTACTAATGTCGGATAATGCAATAATTTTTAAGGTCTAAAAGGTTTGTTTGACATGCGCCTCCACTAGACAGATGTAAATTTACATTTCCTTAAGCCTAAGACTTGTCATCTCAGACATATCATTCAAATAATGCATTACTTTTTATAAATGCAGTAAACGAGTAAGGCGATATTGTAATGCATTAATTTAGGTAACTTTCCCCAGTGCTTCCCCAAGGATAACTAATTGTAGCGTGGAAAACCCTGAAGTGATTTCGAACTGATGTTTGCTGCTCTAAAGCTCACCAACTTGACGTATCCATCTGTGTCCAGCATCAGATTCTCAGGCTTTAGGTCTCTGTATATGATGCCATTATTATGCAGATAGTCAAAAGCCTCTGTTACACAGCCCACGCAGAACTTTGCAGTGTACTCTTCAAAACTCCCCCTGTATTAACACGGAGACACTTTTAGCATACTCCTCAATCCCGGAAAACATCCATGCAGTAGAGCTGACCTGTCCCTCAGAAGACTCCAAATCTCTCCACCCAGACAGGCCTCCAGCAGCATGTACACATACTTGTTGTCTTTGTATGTGCGATACATTCTAGGAGCAAAAATAAAATATATTAGATCAAAACATTAATAAGTACATGTTTAATGTCATTTTTGGTTACACTCTTCAACAATTAACCCATGGGAGTCAGTTGATATCTTTTCTTCAAAGCAATTCACAATGAAATTACCAAGATATTTCCTAAAAATGTCACTAAACAGACATTTCTACGACAGTATGATCATGCTAGACTAACATACTTCACAATGAAAGGACAGTTTGTCTCCAGCAAGATCCTCCTCTCAGAGTAAATGTGCTCTTCTTGTCTGTTATCCACAATGTGCCGTTTCTTGATGCATTTTAGAGCAAATGTCACATTTTCATTCTTCAGTTTCACCTGGAACACAACTGGCATCATTATTGCTCATATCACTTTTTTATTCAGTGTAAATGATGATTTATGTCCTGAGGAGGAAGTGTGAATATTGTGAATAAACTTCTAACCAGTTCAACTCTGCCAAAGCCTCCGACTCCCAGAGTGGCAATAGCCTCAAGGCAGGTGAAGGGTATAGTGGATGCAAAGCTGCTCTCTCTCTCCTTTAGCTCGATCATGTCATGTGACACTGGTGTGTTGGGTGGAGTGCAGCTTCCTGACCTCCTGAAAGAACACGCAAGACGTTTTAGAGAAAGGAGATGATCAATATTTTGGCCATTCATTTTAAAACAGCCACTGAGCTATAATATAATTTCACAGTGACAAATCTGTGTTTTTAGCAGGTTAAAAAAATTCTGAAATTGTCAAAAATACAGTGGATTCAAAAGGTTTAAGATCACGTTGTAGATTGAAAATATTTGATCCCTTTAGATGGGATTTAGCAATAAAAAAAAACAACCAAGTGAAAAGGGGAGGTGGCTTAGTGGTTAGCACTGTTGCCTCACAGCAAGAAGATTGCTGGTTCGAGTCCAGTTGGCATTTCTTTGTGGAGTTTGCATGTTGTCCTCGTGTTTGCATGGGTTTCCCCCACAGTCCAAAGTCCAAGGTGAATTGCGCAAACTAAATTGGCCGTAGTGTATGAGTGTAGGTGAATGTGAGAGTGTATGGGTGTTTCCCACTACTGGTTTGTGGCTGGAAGTGCTGCAATACTGTAGTTGGCAGTTAATTGTGTTGACTTCTGAATTAGAGACCAAGCTGAAGGAAAATGAAAGAACCAGGTGAAAAACATGTGACATTAACCACTGTTTGCAGAAAATGCTTGGAAATGTAATATTGTAAGTTCACAAAAATTCAAGAGAAACATTTCATTAGTGACCTCACAACAGATATACAGATAAATAAGCGGACTGTGGATTGAAATGTTTTTAAGTGAAATATGCTGCTTTTAAACTAGTCAAGATTTTAAATTAACACCACATAATATGTTAAGCAATTAGCAATGCGTAACAATCCTAAGAATACAAATTGTCACACTGTTTCACACTGATTCCATAGACTAACCATTTTTCATAAAAAAACCTTTTAGTAAATTAATAGTGTAAATAAAATTATAACATGTAGAACCTTTTACAAAGTGTGATGAAAAGCTTCTGTGGGCATTAAAAAGGTTCTACATGGAACCACTCAGGTCCATATAAAGTGCTTATTTGTTAAATATGTATGTAAATGGTGGATTCATCCGTCCTGGCAGTTGGAGATATGTGAAAAATATTTTTCCTTTAAGCCTTGATGCTGTATGTGAAAAACTATGTTTACAGCACAGTACTTCATTAATTAATTCATTCGTTCATTTTCATTTGGCTTAGTTGCTTATTTATCAGGGGTCGCCACAGCGGAATGAACCGCCAACGACTCCAGCATATGTTTTACGCAGTGGATGCCCTTCCAGCCACAACCTAGAGCTAGGAAACACCCATATACTCTCACATTCACAAACATAGTCTACGGCCTATTTTGTTAACCTAATTCACCAATAGCGCATGTCTTTGGACTGTGGGGGAAACCCATGCGAACAAGGGGAGAACATGCAAACTCCACACAGAAATGCCAACTGACCCAGGCAGGACTCAAACCAGTGACCTTCTATCTGTGAGGCAACAGGGCTAACCACTGAGCTACCGTGATGCCCACACAGTACTTTGAAATTATACAAAAAAACAAACCAATACTTACTTAGCATTTCTTTTCTTATCATCTCGTGCCAAACTATCGACATAGCTCTGAAGATACTTCTTAAGCTCGTCAAAAGTTCCAACAGTCTGACTGAAAGTTCTGTAAGAAGATAATGTTGTTGTTACTGAGTACAGAGCTAAATCAAAATCAGCTGAATGATGGTGATGTTGAAGTGAGAACTCACTCTCGATCGATCACAAGGCACTCCACACCATCCTCTTCTGCGATTATATTTGCAGATCTCACATCATCACTGTTGTGGGACAAAGCAGGAACTCATTAAGTGTGTTACACGTCAACTCAACTCAACAGATGTCTTCCAAAATGAAAAGTTTATGGATTTGTTTGTAATAATATTCTGTTAACTAATAAATAGACGACATGAATGTTCTCTGTTGCTGTGGGAAAAGTCCTCATATACAAAAAGCTTTTTAAATCTGGATTAAAGTGGGGGAATGAAAATGGAGCAGGGGTTGAAGAAGAGCAGCACCTGATGAGGGCCTTCTCTCCGAAATAATCCCCCTTCCCCAAGGTGTTGATGATCTGAGGCTCTTCATGATCCTGTGTGCTCTGTGTGACTTTAATCTGCCCAACACAGAAAGACAGAGGTCAGGTTACAAAAAGTACCAAGAACAAAAGTTGTTTTTATATTGCCTTATTTAATATGTATATATGCATAAATATATATTTAGTCACTTTATTATATAAGGACATTTCAGAGAAACACAATTCAACAAATTGTATCCAGTTATAACTGATATGGAAGAACTGGGGTCGGTTCATTGAATTCTCAATCCTGTAAAATGATCCATAAAACCACAGTGACCTGCTTGACCTTACTGATAGGCCATTTTTTGGTGGCCAGCACTAATGGCTTTATTCCCAACATGCTCTCGGACATGGTGGAGACAGGCTGACGAGAACCATCATTTCCGGTAATTAAATTCTCTCTCCCTCAGTAAAACATCGTGCTTCCCCCCCATCTTGAGCGACAGTGGGGCAGGAATCAACAGGGGATCCGAGCCTGGCCAGCTCATGCTAAACAGTTCCTGTTGCTTCCCAGCGGAGAGTCCTGTCTCTTAACCCCTTCAGTGTCGAATTACTGATTTATCTGAACGCGCTCGACCTCCCACAGCCCCACATCAGCATCTGCAGTGAAGTCCATGAGGATTAGTGGACTGGAAAAATGGTGCTGCATGTGGGTCAAATCGCTTTTGTTTTTGTTTTTTGATGGTTATCTCTAGCATCGAATGGGTTTGTTCATTATTGCATTTACACTATTTTTAGCTATTTTTAAGTTTTACAATCAACAAAAATAAGGTAGAAAAATGACTTTCTATCATTTCAATTTTGAAAGATGGTGTTTTCTAAATAAACCTGAATGTTGGATGTGCAGAACAGCAGATTGGAAGTGACTATATATATGCATCTTAAAAGGCCTCATCATCTGACAACAGCAGACATATACTGTACAGAAATAAGAACAGCTTTTGTGAAATTAAAATAAGAAGTGATTGTAGTAAACAATGTAAAGGGCTGACAGTATGATCATATCACAAATGCAAATTCAATCTGATCCAGTGTCATTCAGATTAGGTTCAGTCAGGTTGATGCAGATGTTTACATGAAGGCTGTTAAATCTGACAGATTATCTGGTTGCATGTACTGTAAACATAGCCATTTTTGTCTTCTTGTTAAGCAAATGGTTATTTGAATATGTATAAAAATTTTCACTGCTTCTGTGAATGCTAATGTTTTATAATTACTGTATGAGCAGTGTCTTATTTTCATGTAGTCGTAGCCAGTTCTGTATTAAATAATCTTTATCTTTTTTTAACATTAGATTTTGGCCAATCATATATTAGGATAAGAAAAAAACAAATGCCCACAGAGCAACCACTTCATTTCATCTTGATTTTTGTATTTAGTGAAATGTTAATCAAAAAACCACACATTTGGTTATCTGGCCATTTTTAAAGCCACAATACAGCGTTTAATATCGCAGTGTTAGTTATTTATTTAAATACAGGTATTTTCAAATTTCCAGAAAAGAAGAAGGTCTCGAACTAGGATGTTCAAACTCAGTCCAAGAGGGCCGGTGTCCTGCATATTTTAGTTTCAACCCTAATTAGACACACCTGAACTAGCTAATCAAGCTCTTTCTCGGTATATACTAGAAACGTCCAGGCAGGTGTGTTGAAGGAAGCTGAAGCTAAACTATTCAGGACAGCAGTCCTCCAGGACCAAGTTTTAACACCCCTGGTTTAGACAAATGACCCCAGTTTCACAGACAAAACTTATGACTAGTCATAGATTAAATTTCATGCTTGAGTTGTCTTAATTGAAAATAATTTATAGTGAGATATCTTAAAATATGTCAGCACCATAGATTTATCTTAGGATGCACACTGCATCCTAATCTGTTTTTCTAAGTAATTTTTATTAAAGCTGTTCAAATAAACTAATTCAACAAAGGTCTAGTCCTAGCTTCAGCTATGTCCTGTTTGTGAAATGGGGCCACAGGTTTATCCTCTGACCGGAACAATATGTAATATCATGGACTAAGACATAATTTAATGTTAAGCTTAATACACAAAATACAGTAACACAAAAGAAGTTGACAAGAATATACTGCAATTTACCTTTCCATTGGCAATTATATAAAAGGTGTTTCCTTCCTCTCCCTCCCGGATGATGTAATCTCCTTTATTATAATACTCCTGAGCAGGAAACACAAGACAAAACTTATTTAGCTATTGATTTTACCATCCAGCCACTGCTGTCGTGTTCCCGGAGAGATTCCCCTCAGGGAGACAACAGGAAGGCTGTCATGTCTGCTTCCACAGGGATATCAGAAGAGACATCTACTACACATACATATTTCAAACAATGTTTTGTGTCAGTTTTGTTGATGAAAAATTGACAATTAAAACATTTAAGTTCAAACCCTTTATATTAAAAACAATTATAAACTCGTATGAGAACTGGTAATCTTTCAGAGTAAGCTTTTACATGACCAAAATGTGTCCATTTCCTTGAGGACTCTGTGCTTGAACTGCTATTCCTTCAACTATTGGTGAACAAGAAGGCTTTTTCAAGCAATTTACAAAGATAATGTTCGATTTACATAGGAATTTGGTGGATTTAATTTAAAAGTAAGCTCAAATCTCGTCAACAATGTATGACATAATGTTCTGCCAAACTGATTAATTTAAGCATTTGATAACATTTTAGTGGTCCATCAGATCTCAGAGTCTTCATTTCTCTGGTCCTCGCTCTTAACCGATCTCCACCCCCAACTGTCTTTCTGACAGAGTTCTGCTGTTTCATTATGAGCTATCTAAGCATGCCACACTCCGCTTAGGGTCTCAAAACATTTGTTCGCTTCTCGTGTCCCGTCTGCATTCCATTTCCCACTGTTTAATGATAGAGTTCCACATTATCTGCATGTTTCAGTCCAAAACATCTGGGCCACTATTGGGTTACATTGCTTCCTTACCCCTAGAGAGGAGAATATAATCAACTCCATCGGAGTGATTGAATAACGACATTCTCCCATTCGACCCCAGGGGCCGACAATCGAGAAGAATGTCCTTGATGTTTTTTCAGCATGGAAGAACACGAGGAGGCTTATTTGACGTTGAGTTGACAAAGCCCACACTCTTTTAGAAAAACTCACTTTGGCCCCTCATGGAGAAATGGAATAAATCAGTCAGCAGCCTACTGTGGCTGCTGCAAACATCTTTAACAAATCACTCGTCCCCTCGATTGGAGCGAAAACTCTGCTCTGTCTTAGTCAAATAACTGTGGTAAAAATATACTGGGCCAGGTGGTGAAAGATGGAATATCAACACTGTTTGTTCAGAATTAGCACTTCAGAGTGAGACATCTGAAGACTATTCACTACAGATGGGTATATTGGATCAGATGGCATTGGTAAATCCTTTTTTTTAACCATCAGATCTTACTAATGTTAAAAAATGTTTTACTTACCACCTCTAAGCAGTCCACAATCTTTGTTAGCTTGTCCCCAGGAAGACTGGCAAGAAGTGAAACACTGTAAAATAAAATAAAATAAAATAAAATAAAATAAAATAAAATAAAATAAGATAAAATAAAATAAAATAAAATAAATGTTAATAAATTTAAATAAAATAAATAAAATAAAATAAAATAATTAATTAAAAAATAAAATAACAAATAAAAAATATAAAATAAAACAAAGCAATAAAACAAAATAAAATAAAATGTTAGGACATTTGTAGAAGACAAGCCATTTTTTTCATACTATTTCAATAGTATGTTAATCATATTGGCTTAAATTTTTATCTATGATAGTCACATGACTAAACTGATTTACCAATTTAAGACTGCCCCTTTTACTCAGATAGAATCAATGGTTATGGAGAACAGTTGTGTTTATTTCATCTTGTTAGATAATATCTCTATATCTTTGCTCATTAGAATGTCTTTGAGAGGCCCTAAATTGAATTATGGCATTTTCATCCTTTCATGTATGTTATTTAAACAGATAGTTATATAAGAAAGGCCCCAAAGGTCACTTCAAGCAGACCGTTAAGGCCACTGACCTCTACATTATCAATAACACGGCTAATACAAAAAAAAAAACTAGCTATAGGTTGTGTGTTTGATCTCCACAACACTTCACACAAAAAACACTCTTTGAAGTTTTCCCGTCAGCTAATGCTTGGCTACACATTATGTGGTAGGACACCACAGTAAACAGTGGGAGGGATGAACAGTTTGCATTACCTTCTCAGGAAGTTGCGGTATTGCTCGTGTCGAGCCTCGGCAGTCATGCGCATGATGTTGTGGAAGACTTCTCGATCCAGAGCCCATGTCTTCACATTGCTGGCCGCTGTGATCAAAAACAAAACAGCAGGTCAGGGAAATACCAGGAGCTCCCTCACTCCTCGCTGAGTGTCCATTTAAACTTCAGCGGTTCAGTGACTTCAAAACAACAGCTGCTTCTAATAGGCCCATTAGGAAGTCATTACATTTTATTGTGGTGAATTAGTAAATGAAAATGTTGAAAATAAAATAGGCAAGAGTAAAAAACTATTTGTTTAACATTAGGAATGCTAAAAAGGGTTACTATGTATTAATTAGATTATAAACCTTACCATTTTGTGAGTGAGTGCACTAGGGCGCAGATTTAGGATAGATAGAGGGGACTTGTCCCCACCAATATCCACCGACCATAGAAATGTCCCCACCAATAATTTAATCCACTTTTTAAAAATCGTGCTGTCAACATTAACCTAGACACGCAGAAAGGGTTAAATCATGTTCTCTCCTTGAGTCCTCCCGCCCCCAAAGCGCATATGGACATTTTGTTTGGCTGAGACTTTCCCTACAATCATGTGAGAGGCTGTGGCTGCCTTTAGATATGAGCAGTGCCAGTGGATTGTTTTTTTTCCCGTGTATGAATAAGGTATTTTGGGTGACACACAAGTGAGAATGGTGACAGCAAAAAAAAAAAAAAAGTGGACATAAGGTGCTTTTTTAAAAAAAATCTAAGCCACATAAATGCAAATTCGCTACTGAATGGATTATCTTGAAATCTGTTAAAACTTGTTTTAAATTAAAACACTGAAGCCTATGGGCAAATAACAAACTGGCCAGTACATTTAACTTTCCTCAGTCAGGGTTTGTCCAGTTGAATAATTAGAAAATTTTTAAAATAATAATAATAATCCAACTTCTGGGGCCTCATGTACGAAGACTTGTGTTGAATTCATACTAAAAACATTGCGTACGCACAAAGCTGTAAATGTGCGTATGCAGTAAAAAATTCTGATGTATGAAACACTGCGTACGCCGAATCACACGCATATTCTCTTTGTACATCTGAATGAACCTGAAACTGAGCGCACGAGCGCAAAACCCCTCCCTGCCTCCTCCCCCGTATTAACATGCTAGTTATTATACTTTGGCAAAACCCAACAAAAAAGCAATGGCAAAAGCAAGCAAAAAGAGAAACTTTGAACAGAATGTGATTTGGAGGTGCTGCTTTCGGAGGTAGACCGGAGAAAAACGGGGTTATTTGCAAGTTTGTCCTCCAGAATTAAAAACAAAAGAAAAAAATTGAGTGGGAGAGTTTAGCTGATGCGGTTAACACAGTTGGGTCTGAACATCACACTGAGTGGATTAAAACAGAAATAGTGCGATGTATAGGTGTGAAATTTTGTGGCGACCATAACAGCGTGAGTGGCGTAGCACGTAAAACACATGGCAACACGTTTTGACACGTTCGAGCATGAACTCGGTTTGAATACAGCGTCTGATGAAGACCTTCTTTTTTCCCCCCGCTACATATCAGATTTTGACTACTCTTCATCAAGAGGAAGACAAGTAGGAATCATTAATAAGTGTGTGCATCATATATTATTTGCACATTTATTGAATGAAAATGTTTCTGATTCACATATACAAATTTCTTGGCTTTAAGTGGCACCTTTATAGCAATGTGCGTACAGTCGATCACTCCGATTACATTGGGAAAACTGGCAACTGCTGCAAATTGCGCTTTAATGTTTGGCTGGTCAACTGCATGGTATGGAAACCTTATATACCTGCTAGACATGCGGATGAACCTGTCCCATACAGCTGCCATTACACGGCTCAAAGATACTTGGTAGTGTGCAATTTAACACAACTGCTTCTGGAAGTCGCCAGTGACTCTTCTATACAGCTTAAAGTGACATTTGAAGGCTTAACTATGGTAATTAGGTTAATTGAGAAGGTTAGAGTAATTAGGCAAGTTATTATAATAATGATTTATTCTGTAGACAATTGAAAACAAAAGTTAGTTTAAAGGGGCTACTAATTTTGTCCCTAAAATGCTTTTATTCTAGCCGAAATAAAACAAATAAGACTTTCTCCAGAAGAAAAAAAATATTATCAGACGTACTGTGAAAATTTCCTTGCTCTTTTAAACATCATTTAGGAAATATTTAAAAAGGAAAAAAAAAATTCAAAGCGGGGCAAATAATTCTAACCTCAACAACTCTATGTATGTATATATATATAAATGGCGACGCAGTGGCACAGTAGGTAGTGCTGTCGCCTCACAGCAAAAAGGTCGCTAGTTCGAGCCTTGGCTGAGTCAGTTGGCATTTCTGTGTGAAATTTGCATGTTCTCCCTGCGTTCACGTGGGTTTCCTCTGGGTACTCCGGTTTCCCCCACAGACCAAAGACATGGGGTACATGTGAATTGGGATTGGCTAAATTGTCCATAGTGTATGAGTGTGAATGAGTGTGTGTGGATGTTTCCCAGAGATGGGTTGTGGCTGGAGGGATATCCGCTGCATAAAAAGGTGCTGGATAAGTTGGTGGTTATTACCGCTGTGGCGTCCTCTTTTTTAATAAAGGGACTAAGCTGAAAAGAAAATTAATGAACGATTGAACATATATATGAGTGCATATACTGTGCATGTGAATGGCTGTATTTAATTTTCTGTCATGTTGTGTCTGGTGTAAACAGCCAAATTGCTTATCACTGCAAATCTCCTCATATAGCGTGTTGTTAGGACACAGGGTTACAATGCAATCTGCTCACCTAATGTTTACGTTTGTAATATTTTTATGTATTATTTACATTATTATAATATTTATATTATTTGCTAATTAATAAACACCTCGTGTGGAGTTCTGAATCTGCATCTCAGTTTGGATTCTGCAACTGTCCACTGGAGGTCGCATTTCGGTCACGGGCACAAGCCTTTCTGACTGAATAAATGAATGAAATAAGAGGTTTTCCACCAAGGCAACCCGGGGTGCAGAAATTTTACTGGCTAAACTGGCATTGGACAGGTTAAAAGAACTAAAACTGCATTTTCAAAGCAAAATATCTGACTTCAGCATTGTTTTTTTTTTTTTAGATAAACAAGAATGCTCACTTGGCATGTTTCTTAAATATCGGCAAACATATTATGGTATTTTTATGCTTTAGAAGGGTCAAAAATTATAATACAGCACCTTTAAGAATAAACCTCCGGGAGAATGTACAACTTAACATGATAATACTAACAATAAAAATGTACTCTAAATCAAGAGGGATATTATGACTACAGTCATTTGAACACACAAACAAGTAAATGAAATTACTGGCCAAACCAATGAAATTACCACTACAAGACAGAACAATGGTGTTTAGTTCAGACTGGTGTTTATCGATAGCCTGAGGCTGCATGTGGCCAATCTATGATCACAGCGTGAGCTGAACACAAAAAAAGCTGTTGCACAAGGACAGCCTGAATTATGTGTGAATCAATTACGTAACATATTTGTCAAAAACAGAACTACACTACTGTGGGACATCACAATGAAAAAGAAGAAATGAATACTTCACCTTTGACTGATGCAGTCCTGGTGCAATTGTACAAGATGGCCAGTTCACCAAACGTGGTCCAGACTGCTATTGATGTGAGCAGTTTGTTGTGCTGATAGACGTCCAGCTTGCCATCTATAAGAGGAATTAGTATTTAAACACAGATTATTTGTGCTTTCCAAATGTAATTGCAACTTATTTCACTTTAAATTGTTTGCCCTGTTTGTGAGTTTGTTCTGATTTACTCTACAGTGATAAAATTGACAACTGCGAGTAATAAGGGCTGTAACCACAACAGAAATTAAGCTGGACAAGTTCCTACCATAAATTAGAAATCGCAAAACTATCCCTAACAATATTTGAGATTTTTGCTTTTGATTTGGCTTTAGCTTTAGCTTTTTAAAAAGTGATCATCACTGTGAACGTGACTGAGATGGCCATTTCTATTAAAGATGGGTAAATTAGTTTCAGAAAAAAAGCATAAATTGTGACAATGAGGTTGTGTAAGACTGATCTAACAAAACAATGCATATTTGACAACTGTTAAATATTAACAAATAATGAATATAACTGCTACAAATATGTTAAACAAGTAACAGTAATATGCTACTAAAAAAAGTTAATGTCAAGCCCTGTTAAAAATAATATAAAAAATTGTGGTAATAGTTTATTTGAAATTACGAATAGCCTATCCAATAACAGGGCATTAAATTACACATTGTTTATTTCTTTGCATTTAAACTTAGTAAAATATAAAATCATGTTTCTCCTCATGTTTTGTATCAGATTTTTTATTTTTTTTGTCTTGAGTCAGTGTGCCAACGGTTGTTTGCCCTTCACTTTTTTACTTGCTCCATCAGCCATGCCAACTCCTCCCTCTGCTCGCAGTGCTCCATGCCCATCTCAGAGCATTTAACAAAAAATATAAGGTACTACTTATCACCATCTTTAAAGATATTGTTGATGTGTAGTAATTAAAGTGGTTCCTCCAGGATTACGAGCAAAAAAAAACATTTTAGTGCTAATTAGCATCATTTTTAGATTATAAGCAGATATATAACAGTCTTAAAGTGTTCTTCATGGTTTTGCCTAATCAGTGTAATAAAACAATCAATTATGCAATGGATTTATACCTGCAAGCACAAACAAGTGGTTTCCAGGCTCTCCTTGTTTGATGACATACTCTCCCTGCTGGTAGGTCCGTTCATACATACATTCGACCATGTCTTTGACCTGCTGCACTTCCAGTCTCCTCAGATACTGGTTCTTATTCAGAGCATCTGTCAGGAGCTTCTTTACACTGTTGGAAAGACATTGACAACAAAGCGGTGACAACAAAGACAAGCTGTCAATATTTGCCATGAGACAATCAGAAGAATAAGATAAAGATAAACACTGTTTGACAGCTGTGACATAGTTAAACTTGGATCATATGGGATGACCGAAAACAAATTATTCAAGTGGGACTAATTGGAAAGTTCACGCTATGAAGCACACCAGTTGCTTTATTTTCACTGTTAAAATAGAGACTGGATAATTAATCTCAGCGTGATGTTTTGCAGGGAGATTAGACCAATTTAAGCCTTCCAACATAATGACTATCTGTGCACATGGTCTCTCCTGAGCTTAGCATATGAAAAACATACACTAATTACCAAGATGAAGAAATAGCACATCTAATTTAGCTGTTGAGGTTGTTTGATGCAGTAATGAATATTCCGGTGTAAATTCTCACACATACAGTAAATAATGTGAACTCATACACACACAAAGCCTCCCAGGGTAACCTATTAACTTAACTTAAGATATTAACCAATAGTTAATCAAACAAAAAAATAAATAAATAAAAAAAAAACTGCCTTTTAGAAAAACGTCATTTAGATCAGAAACACACTTAATTTTATTTAAAAACATTAAGTTTGATCATGTCAATTTGTTTTTGTCTCTTCTTCTTTAAAACAGTTTTGTCTTAACAATCTCAACAACCAATGAAACAGGAATATTTGAGACTGTATTTGCACATGTGATGTGATGGTATTTTGGGAAAGAGGTATGTTCATGAACAACATTGTAAATGTATACTGTAATGTACAAATGCTAACGCCAGGCATTATACAGTGAGGAAAATAAGTATTGAATATGTCACCATTTTTCTCAGAAAACATGTTTCTAAAGGTGCTGTTGACTTGACATTTTCCCCGCATATGCAAAGAAAACAAATCTAATTAGTTTACAAATTAAGTTATGCATAATAAAATGAAATGAAGCATGGAAAAATTATTGAACACATGAAGAAAGCGGGGCGTAGAAAGGTAGTGAAAGCCAAGGCAGCAGCTCAAATCTGTCTGTAGTTATACAGCATCCCTCTGCCCTTCGTCAGTGTAAATGAATATTTCAGCCCAACATCTACATTAGCAGGATGATGAAGATGGACATTTTAGCAAGACAGTAATCCAAAACAGAACCAAGGAATCTCTCAAATGAAAAGAGAAAGAAAGTCAAGCTGTAAAACGGCCCAGTCGATCACCTGACTAGAACCCAATATAAAATACAAATTAAAGATCAGATTTGATAGACGAGACCCCCAGAACCATCAAGATTTTTACCATAAAGATGTGGAAGTCTGTGAAAACACTCACACCTTAGCAATGCATGTGATTTCATTCTCCATATGAGAGGTGTCTTTAAGCTGCCATCACCAAAAAAAAAAAACCTTTTACATAAAGTATTAAATATAGTAGTTCAGTACTTTCTCCTTCATTTGTCATTTCATTGTTATTACACATAACTAATCTTTCAGTTCGGGTTTTTACCAAAATGTGGTTCAACTCCATGTCAACAGCTCCTATAGAAATATTACTTACAGGAAAAAACGTGATGGCAGAGGGTTTTGAAAGAGTACAAAAACTGTATTCATTAACAAAAACATGAATCAATGGATGTTTCTATATACAGATGTGGCTACTGAGAACGCTCGTTTCTTCACACACAGTGCTGCAATTTGTCACGTGCAGTGCTGCAGCAGCAAAGACCGCCTTTTCATTTAAAAAAAAAACTTTTGTGTTTCACGCAATAGCCACCAGGTGGTGCAAGGAACAACTGCTTTTCTATTGACTTTTCAATTGTCGAGGGTTTTTGTCACATTTAAAAGGTATGTTTGTGCATGAAACATGCGCGTTTAGGTGCATGTATTTGTGTGTGAGAAACCGGGCAAAAGAGCACTCGATTCAGCTCTGTCGATGACGCGAGCGGCTGGGTCTTTTTCTCTTTTTATTTTGGAGATAATGAATACATATTTGTTTTCACATATGAATACAACAGAAAGACATAAAACTTTACAAATTACGTGTCCACTTTTGTAGGCTCAACACAATTTCATAGATCTAGATAAAATAGCCTAAGCTATATAGAAACCATTTAAAGTATACAAATTTCGGATATATTAAAAGCATTAAATAAACCAATATAAAACAAACAAAAGCTATAATGATTTAGGTATATAAAGTATAATATAAATGGATTACACCATTTTAAGTCATTTTGAACTTTAATTTTACAAAGGCCTATCTGAAAAAAGATTTGAGCATTTTCTAAAATGCATGTGAAGCATTTTTTGCTTTATCAATGTTTTTTAAGAAAATCTAGTCACATTTCTTTAAAAAAAATACAACCATCTCTGTAGAAATTTGTCCTCAAAAACATAAAATAAATCAAAGGTCCCACCTCTGCTCTTTCCAGACTCGTGCGCTCTCGAAGTAGAACTTTGGAATCCCACTGGAATCATACGTTCTGGATGAAGGCTCTGCTGATACTCCAGCTTTTGCTCCTTTTCTCCTGTTGAGTGTTTCTCTGAGCAGGCCTGTGAGACCTTGACTGACTTTCTCCTTGAGGGGTGAGGGCAGGAGGCCCAGCTCCCCTTGACTCTTCAGAGCGTCCTGAAGCTTGTTGAGCTGGAGACACTTGCTCCTTAACGTGTCAGAGATCTCAGAGAGGGTCTGCTTCTGCTGGGCCAGCTGCTCCTCCAGATGCTTGATCTGAAGCTCTTTGGCATTCAGGTCTTCATCCTTCTTCTTCAGATGAGTCTCTAATTCTTCCACACGTACTCTGAGGACTTGAGGGACCAAGCTTGATTCTCCATTGTTTTTGGATTTGGCCGATCCACTGACCTGCTTTAGAGGGTTCAGCTTCATCGAGCCATTTCCCATTTTGCTGCTTTAGTTTCACTGTAAAAGGTAATCAGATTCAGACTCATCAATAGAATAACATCATGTGATTAGATTAATTACTTTAAAATATAAAGCGTTAACATATTTTAATCCTAACTTTGCTTTCTGTTAGGGGTCTTAGAGGCAATTTAATGGCTTACGATATTAACTAACAACATGAAACAACTGTCTTTTATATTACTTAAAAGACACAAGCGAAGACAAACTAGCAATCGACAGCTTTATTTTGTTACTAACCAGAATGAACAAAGATAAATAAATAAATAATTTATCCATTCATTTTCTTTCATCTTAGTCTTTATTCATCAGAGGTTGCCCTGTCGCCCTGTCTTATGGCCAACTTATCCAGCAGATGCCCTTCCAGCTGCAACCCAGTACTGGGTAACACCCATACACTCAGCCAGGACACGAACCAGCAGGCGACAGTGCTAACCACTGAGCCACCATGTCACCCAAATAAAAAAAAATAATGTAAAAATTAGTTCATTGTTCGTGGTTAGTTAATAATAATCAATGCATTAACTAATGTCAGATAATGGGTCCTCATTATATTGTATTAACGTGTCGTTAAAATTAGCAACATTAGGTACCTACTTAAAAAAAAAAACTAATAACCTTATACATATGACAAAGGCTTAAAATTAACCTTTTTGATCACCAGCCGCTGTGGCTAGTAGTTTTTCAACATTAATAGCCACTCGCCATTTTCACTAGCCACATTTTTGTTGTTGGAAAAATATATTTTATATGCACATATTTGACTTTGGCATGCTAAAATTTTTTTGATTTAAATTTTGTGTTATGTCTACAAGCCTCCTCATTCAATAAACTTTTTTTGTGTGTTGTGTATGACCTTGCTCAATGAGCATGAGCAAATGGGTTGTGGTTTCATGGTTTGCATTGCAATTAGTTCATATTTCACACAACTTTTTAGGGTTCAACATTAAGGATTAACATTTTTTTTTCTCTGGCCACACCAAACATAGCTAAACAAATAATTAGTTCTTATCTACAAATTTTAACTAATAAAAAATACACAAAAACAAACAAAATATAGCTGTATACATGCATTGTATTTGGGAAGTTAATCTCCTATTAAAACAATGTTATTGTAAAGGATGATAATTAAACCATAAATAAGAAAAGCAGGTGCAAAAGAAAGCAGGTGAAATACCATGTTTGATAATAAAAAGAATGATTATGTGCACACAGTCAGTTAACTTTAGGCCCAATAATAATCTGTTCAAAAAATGGTTAAAGTGAAGCGGCAAAAAAACTCTCGAGCTGCTTAGAAAAAAAATGTGTCCTTGAAACCAGCAGGACTGTGCAAAAGAGCATCACTTTTTGTCCAGTCTATTTCAAAGAGAACTGATCACACAAGTTGCATTTGCAGGCAATGTTGCTTTGCGCAAGGAAACAGGAGCGCACACAATTTATAAACACTCACACACATCACATCATGTGCACGATATTAAAGCCCTCGTCAGTTAATGAAGAAAGCGTGCGTCTCACCGTGCACATGATCATCCTCTCATTCAATATTTACCTGCTTTCTTTTGGTCACACGAACATTTAATTTGTCAGTCGTGCTGCTTCTTAATAAACTACATTATAAAATTACTTCAGTAAGCCAAAGAGGCTAGTGGGAGCGGCTCTCTAACCCGCCTCAGCTGAAATCTACAGTACCTGCATTTGGCGGGTGTGAATGTTAAGCCCTGCATATGACCCCAAACAGTTTATAAAACAGTGTATCAAATTAACTTAAAATGAAATGCTGAAATAGAAATATTGCCTCTGCAACTAGCTGAAATGAATTATAAATTGGGGCAGCACGGTGGCGCAGTGGGTAGTGCTCTTGCCTCACAGCAAGAAGGTAGCTGGTTCGAGCCTCGGCTGGGTCAGTTGGCATTTCTGTGTGCATGTTCTCCCCGTATTTGTGTGGGTTTCCACCGGGTGCTCCAGTTTCCCCCACAAGTCCAAAGACATGCGCTATAGGTGAATTGGGTAGGCTAAAATTGTCCGTAGGGTATGGGTGTGAATGAGAGTGTATGGGTGTTTGCAGCTGGAAGGGCATCCACTGTGTAAAACATATGCTGGATAAGTTGGCGGTTCATTCCACTGTGGCAACCACAGATTATTAAAGGGACTAAGCTGAAAAGAAAATGAATGAATGAAATTTTACATTTTTAAAGACCGGCAGTTTTTTATTTATTGAGAATGCTGAAATGTTGATTTTACAATATTTTCATTTATTTATTTGTTTGTTTGTTTGTTTGCTTTTTATACCAACATCTCTCAGGGACTCAGGGTCAACACGAGTGTGTGATTGCACATGGTGTATTATTAATTATTCTAATGAATCGCAGATTGTCATTTTGTCCTTTTACCAACACAGATTTTTATAAATAATATAGATAATGCTGCTGGTCTTTCTGGGTGTGTGCTGATCATTTGTTGTCAGATTTGATGCTGCCATTTGTCTCCTACAGAACACAACTTTGATGGTAAAGGTTAGAGGACCCTCCCCAAGCCTTTCATCTACCTGTCATGTATCTCATTATAAGAGGCTTAGACAGTGCCACAAGTCTGAGTATGATACTCCATATTTTCACATCTCAGATAAAGAGCGAAAGAGAGATCCGCTGGCCCCAGTGATTTAGAGCTAATCAATAATTTAGAGGCACAGTAATACCGGATGGCACCAGCACCCTGTGAGTGTGCAGTAAACGCTCTTTCTGGACTGTCTGCTGATGTCATAGATTTCATTGATGGAAAAAAAATGAAATGGGATGTTTTGAATTTCACTATGGCTTACAAACATCATACAATGGACACTGGACTCTCCCACCACAGAGAAAATGCTGGAGTACAATCACAGCATTTACAGCACAAGACCTCATACAGATGCCTGCAACTCCATACATAAACTTTGTTAAAGACACAGTGTGTAACTCAATGAGACCGTTATTTTGTTTGCATTCAATCTAGATGGTGAAATCACAGGAAATTTGATTATCCTTATGTTGTTACATTATTGAGAGACTTGACTTGTGTTATTTAATTTAGACTGGATGATTATATATATATATATATATATATATATATATATATATATATATATATATATATATATATATATATATATATAAACTTGGATAATACAAAATAGAATGTCTAAAAAAAGAAAAAAAATATTAAAGGGAAATTTGATTATTAATAGAATTTCTAGCATAAAGTAAAAATAAAGTGACATGTTATACATTAATTGTTAGACAACAAGTTAATGTTTTGACATCAAAACAGTTTGAATCCCAACAAAAGAAAATATTAGTTGATTTCTTGGCCAATTGTTGCCTATTTTCTGAGGAATATATTTGAATTTCTTATATTACTACTTTTTCTCTTTTTTTTTTGGAATAAATGTTATCAGACCTGTATAGTATCCTATATTAACATTTTACTGAACACAATACTGAATGAATTTAGTAAATCTCTCTATTTTTTTCCAGAAATATCTAGATTTAAAAAAAAATACCAAAAACTAAATAAAATCATTCATTCAAAGGGATGTGATATCTTTACGTTTTTACATTACTTATTGTAAGATTTATTTAATTTAGTTGCAGTAGCCTATCCATCGTAACTTAACTAGGCTACAAAAATAATGTAAGGACTATCCTAACCAACTTAACAAGTAAAATGCACATCTAAACGAACAAAATATTAACGAACATTATGGATATTAGATATTCTAAAACACTCAACATGTTACTTTACAGTATGTTAAGCTTGGCTGCAGAAGCCATATGCAGCCGTTACACCTGTTCTTCCCATCTGTGAGCAGGCTAAGAGCTACTGAGAGACAAAGTTTGTAAATGGTTTTAAATGAACGAAAGCCCTACCGTTTTGTTGTAAAGGAACTTTTCTTCGACGTATCTGTGAAAGAACCAAAAGACGGCAGAAATAGAGCTGTGTATTCGGTCAGCAGCGCGGTTCACTCACCACACACAAACACAGAGTCGCATTGGGCAGCGTTTGTTATGTCTCCACGATAGTACTGTAACTACACACTCAGACCCTGAGCAGTCGCGATGCCGCCGTGATAGCAGGACATTTTATTGATCTCTCTCTCTCTCTCTCTCTCTCTCTCTCTCTCTCTCTGCGTCATTATTCAATTATTCATTCATTTGTTGGTTTGTTTTCTGAATAAAGATCCTGCAGAATGGATTAACACGTTAATGGATTATTTATTCATTTATTAATTTTCTTTTCGGCTTAGTCCCTTTTATAATTATGGATTGCCATTGCAGAATGAACCGCCAACTTATCCAACATATGTTTCAAGCAGCAGATGCCCTTCCAGCCGCAACCCAACACTGGGAAACACCCATACACTCTCATGCACACACACACACACTACAGCCAATTTAGCTTACCCAATTCACCTGTACTGCATGGCTTTGGACTGTGGGGGAAACCGGAGCACCCTGAGGAAACCCACGTGAACACGGGAAGAACATGCAAACTCCACACAGAACTGCCAACTGACCCAGCCGGGGCTCAAACCAGCAACCTTCTTGCTATGAGGCAATCTAGGTGAAATGCTATTGTTTAAATGTTAGCACCATGATTTGAATACCATAAATCTGTAGATTACTAATGATAAAATTTGTTGGCCAAAACAGTTTTGAGGTATTGCTAAGTGTAAGCAACAAATATTTGTCTTTCAAAGATTTGGGGTAAATATTTGATAGCAACTTGTCAATTTACATCTACGATGCTTGAAATGTATTCATGCTTTGACTTTCTGGCTAGATTATTGTAATCGGTTACTAATTGGTTGCCCTATAGTCCTTATAAACAAACTTTAGTGTGTTCAAATGCAGTAGCTAGAGTGCTCACTAGAACTGAGAAGCATGATCATATTAGTTCATATTGGCTCCGTAGTAAACATTGTATAAATGTAAACATTCTAGCCCTAACCCCTAAAAGCTTTAGCAACCATTTCAGCGAGCTCCTGATGTAATTACAGCCCTTTAAAAACTCTGGCCAATTAATAATAAAGGACATTCTATCAAAAATATACATTTTTACTTACCAAAATTGTGACAGGGCCTGACTTAAGCCTGTCCTCCTCAAAAAATCACATTAAAACAAGAAGAAATGATATATTTCAATGATTGAATGCATTGTTGATCACTGTCAGCTTCTCCTCCATCAAATGATGTCACTTCCTCTAATTTATAGCCTTAAAGGTGTATTGCACACACTTTATGTTAAATTTAATGCAAATATGACATGACTGACAGAAACATGAGGACATTTGTAAAATAGTATTTATTTGTAGAATTTATTTATAATTGTTATGTTTTTAATCAGTTGATGTGGATAACAACTCAAACCTGCTATTTCTGAAGTTTGTTGTTCTAGTTTTTAGCATAACAGAACTATTAAAGCTGTAGATTCAGTTGGGTTAAAGACAATTACAGGGTTTGTACATTTGTTAACTGTTTTTAATAAAGAAAATAAATCTGGAAACCAAATGAATGACAAATGCCTTTACAGAACAACTCACAGAAAATCAACCATCAGTCCATTTTAGTAATTTTTAGCATAAAATACTTTGTTCACTGTATTTATGTTTTTATTTTAGGGACAGATAATGTTGGTTTCTCATAGAATATCCCATAATATCAATACTAACAGGTAGAAGATCCTTCCTAGTGCATCTACCAACTCTGGCAGATTAAATCTAGATTAAACACCCATCTCTTAGCACGAGCATACAGGTGAAACACAAACTTAACTTTAAAATTCAAATCTGATTTTTTAAATGAAGGCAACCAAAAACTATAAAGCTATACCCCAAAATACCAAAAATAATGGCATCTATGCTCATGTTAGTCTGTCTGTTTCTTTGGATCCATCCCATATCCAGCCTTGATGGTTGTTGCGACAGAGGACGAACTCAGCACAGCCCCACACAGTCAGAGAAGATATCGATGTCTCAACAATGCAAGACAAGACATGATCATTTATCTTTACCTAATAAAGTTACCAGGGATGCAGTGATGCAGTAGGTAGTGCTGTCAACTCACAGCAAGAAGGTCGCTGGTTCGAGCCTCAGCTGGGTCAGTTGATGTTTCTGTTCGGAGTTTGCATGTTCTCCCTGCATTCGCATGGGTTTCCTCCGGGTGCTCTGGTTTCCCCCACAGTCCAAAGACATGTGAATTGGGTAGGCTAAATTTTCCGTAGTGTATGAGTGTGTATGGAAGTTTCCCAGAGATGGGTTGCAGCTGGAAGGGTATCCGCTGCGTGAAACATGTGCTGGATAAGTTGGTGGTTCATTCCGCTGTGGCTACCCCAGATTAATAAATATAGGGACTAAGCCATAAAAGAAAATGAATGATTAAAAAATATACCTTGTGATCAGTAAGTAAATAAACTGTGTACAACAATAAAACATAAGTTGTCAACTTAAATGTTCCAAGTTACAAGAGGCTTAGTCGGTTTTCTTACCTATTCACCTTGTCATTTACAGTACAGGGCAATGGGTTAACTCACATTTTTAATGTGAAGTAACCAATACATTTTACAATTCAGCAAAGACCACAATGACAGACGTGTCCCTACATTAAAGCCTTTTTGCTACACCCATCTGGGACCTACTTTGACCTTTACTTACAGTGTGATGGATGCTTATCCTCCCAAGGTTACCGACGTCTTAAAGTGCAACTCTGCCTTTTGTGCATTTGGGTAAAGGAGAACTGGTTGCATGACTGTGCCTGGCTTCTCCCAAGGTCTGTTCTCAATAGTATCTGGATGTAGATTTTGATTTGCAAGCTAAGACTGCATATCTCAGAGATGCAATGTAAGAAATAATGCCCTCAATGGAGCTAGTCAAACCAATATGAGAGTTAGGGGTGGGGTTAAGTGTGAGCATGAAAAGCATTACATTTAGCTCAGCTTGCAACTGCATCGAGTCTGCATGCAGACTCCTCTCGTTTGTTCGTTATTCATGACAACTGGTGGAGTTTGGATTCCTTGCAATTGTTGCCTTTGGTCTGCTTTGTTGGGGTTGATGCGGCCTTCCTTGGATCATCCTTCAACAGGGATATTATTGAACTGAACTACACTAGCATTCAACCACTACTGATATGCTAAATATGTCCCAAAAAACGGAAATATCTTATCCTATTCCAGTTCATCCATATTAAGTGGCTTTAAACCAATCAACAGTGTGTAAATCGCTGTAGAAATACTGTTGATTTGACTAAAAATGTTAAAACAGTTTATATAAAAAACAACTCTCACAAACTAGACCACATCCCATTATTGCATGGGTCATACCATCGACTTTACTGAGGCTGAGAACAAATCTATTCACATTTATGTATGTAGATACACTGAGAGAGACAGAGAGATTTTGCTTTCACTGCTATTACGACAATCCGAGAATCATCAGTATTGATCTAATTGCATTTACGTGAATCAGAGACAGTGGCTTGCATCAGATCATCAAGCCTCTGGCAATGGAAATAGTTCATATACATCATTCAGAGCTGTCTGCCACATGATCTGATCATCACAACCTTCAGCAAGTATTACACTGACAACACACACACAGAAACACACACAGCAGCAGTGCACAGACAGGAAGAATTTTGATTAAATAGCCAATATCTCAAAATAAAAACTAAATAGATTTAATTTTAGTATTTGAGAGTTAGATAGTTGACCAGTAGATGGAGACAAGGGCACGTTTCACTTTTCCAATATTAGCATCTGAAGTTGAATCATCCTTAAAGCCACTGTCATCATCAAACTTGATTCCTGGAGGGCTGCAGCTCTGCACAGTTTTGCTTCAACCCTAACCAAACACTGCTGATCCAACAACTCAAGCTGCGGCTCTCCAGGAATTGAGTTTGAGACCATTGCTGTAAACTATTAATAATGCTGAAATACTATGGAGAATTGTTTCTTCATTATTTAATCAAAATTGTTTAATTTTAGGGAAAATGATTAAGTACATGGTAATAAAAAAATATAAGATTTCAAATAAAAAACATGTAATTAAAAACTTGTCAACAATAAAGTAATTTGGATGGCAAAAAATAAACTATTGTCATATTACGCAGTTACCACGATTATTATTGCACTCATTCATTTTGCTCTCTGTTGAAGATGGGTCTGGCTGCAGACCTGGTGCAGTGCAATCTGGGCTGCATCTAATGCTTTTTAATGGGCTCACCTAACCCCACCCGTCACAGTGACGTCACTAGCTCCATTTGAGTGCATTGTGTCTGACATTGCATCGCTGAGTGATGCAGTCTCAGCTTGCATCATAAAGGCTGCATCCAGATACTGTTGCTCTGTTCTGCTGTCATTTATTGCACATCTAGAATCTTTGCTTGCGAATTTAAGAGTTTTGGACTCATTTCTTTTTTTTTTTTAAAGTGTAATATTTCATAATACTCTCTTTAATGTAAACATTCTAGATGTATGTTTGTTTGCAGTAATGACAAAAATATTTTCAGTTAGCCAAAGAAACCTTTAAAGAATAACCTTTGTGAGAAAAACTTGAAAAGAAATCATGTTAAGTGCATTAATAAATTGAAGTACCTCTTGTGGAATGGAAATATTCTACATGTTAAAGGTTGTTTGTGGAACCATTAATAAAAAATCATTAAATATATACAATTGAAAAGTTGTATTTCAGGTGAAGTTTTATTTCTTTAAAAAATATTTGCCAAGTTTCCCAAATTCCAACATTTTTTTCAAGTTTAAAAACAAAATTCTAATAAATAATTTCCATTGTCTTTGTAATGACAGATCATAAATCACTTGTTATTTTGCAAAATACTAGTGTTCAGCTTAAAGTGCAATTTAAAGGTTTAGGTTTATAAGTCTGCAGCCAGTCAGAAATTATACATAATACTTAATGGGGCTAACAATACTAACCTTGATTATTTTTACGTGTGAAAAGCCTTCATGGAAGCATTGATTCCAATGAGAAGACTTAATTTATCCTAACACAATTATGACACAAAAACAAGAGACTCAGATGAACTTCATAGGCATTCTTTAATTCCTTTTATTTTTTTTCATTCACTCCATATCACTTTTGAGGTTCTGTAATCTGCCCAAACAATCAAAATACATATCAATATACAGAATGGAGAAATGACAATATTTACATACTGTAGGAGATCAAAAAAAGTGTAGAGCTGACATTATCCGACATACATTAGCTTCATACTGTGTGCTAGTACCTTCAAATATTAGTTTTTCCTCATACAAACTTTTATAAACATTATAAAATATTTAGACAGGGAATATCTGAATATTATAAAAAACATGTACCTAGTACAAAATAACATTTAATAAAGCTTATTTGAAAACAAGAGCTAAAGATATCCATGAGGCCAATAAATAAACACAAAGGAATATGTGAAATATTAATAGAATAACAGTAATGAAAACTAGCACATTCTACATATGGACTCGAATCCAAGCTAATATGGGTGCGATAAACCTTCAACTCTTCCTTGAGACACTCTGAAGTGTCATTTTCCTTTTGACCACCAGAGGGCGACACAACACCACTCACCAAACAAGAGCGTCGACAACAGTCCTACAAATATCACCTTCATCGCGTAAAAACAGCATTACAACGGTAACACTGACAAACAAACACCGTCTTTCCTTCAAAGGCCGACAAACGTCTACAGTAAAGTCATGACGACAAAAAGTGGGACGAGGGATGAAGCTTTAAACTGCAGAATTATCACAAATAAATTATTCCACAGGAAAAGAATTGACATCTTTATTCACAGAAGCATCCAGTGCATTCGGCGACCCTCATTGGGTTTAATCAAGCACACGTAAGTCAATGGTCACTCACAGAGGTTAAAGCAATGCATTACTCACATCTCATATGCATAAAAAACAGACAAACACAATATCAAAAAATAGTGACAACGTAAATCTATAGTTAAATTAATGCTTCAGGTACAATAAAAATATACAAGTACTGGAACCCAGTACACAATGCTGGCTTACTTTTTTTTCCTTCTTTTTTTTTTTTTAGTTTCTCCAATTGAGTTTGCCAACCAGCGGCTTCCTCAATACAGAAGAATGACAGGATAGTTTGGAATTGGTTTGTCTAGTAGAGACGTTTTCAACAACTTGTTCTTTCTGCTCAAACTGTTTTAGAGACAGAGAGGTGAGGGCAAGGAGTACAAAAGTTTGCACAAAGAGATGAAAAAGCCTGAAATATCCAGTATGAAAGACTCTCAAAAAGATCTTCTTTCCAACACAAAAATGCTCCGTTCAGCAAAATAAGGATTGTCATCTCCCTTGAAAAACAGGGATACTTCTCACTTTTGGAAAGGGGCAAAAGGGGGACACAATTTGCTTGTTAGAAGGATCACTTGATTTGGAGCTCCTCAAAGGATTATGTCCTGTTCAGCAAAGATGACCTGCAGAAATCAAGCATAACCGTCATTTAGTAAAATAATTAAATTTCCGTTCAAAATAAAAATAACATGTACTTAGCCACAATAAAATGCAGGTAAGAAAAAAAAGCATTTCTTCCATATTAATTTGTAACATTTGTGTAATACTAATGAAACCAAAAAGTCAATAAGTAAATGTAAATAGACTGTAATTGTATCAAGAAAAACAATTGCCAGTGTTCAACATTTTTTCAGGAGATTTACTTCATTTTAATATGTTTTAACAGAGTATTGTAAGGAATATTAGAAATTTGTGGAGGCCGCCCAAGCCACTAGCCAGCGTAGTTAAAGGGGTGGTTCATTTATTTCTCAAAAAGTTAACTTTTTTGCAGTTATAAGCCTCATTTTGTATGTAATTATGAGGTAGTTAACCATTAAAAAAACATTAAAATATTAAAAAGTTACCATTAGTAACTTTTAAGCACTATTTTAGACTGGATTAGCTTGTTGGATGGTCATCAAAACCACAAACCTAAAAATAGTTTCTAAAGATTTAGAACCAAGAAACATTAAAAAAAAAAAAAACCTACAAACTTATTACATCATATATCATTCAGAAAAACAAATGTAGCCTATTGTCATTTATTAGCCGAATAACAAACTGGCCAGCACATTCAGCTTTCGTCAGTCAGAATTTGGCCATGTGGATTAAAAAAAACAAAAAATATTTTTTTAAAAAACATATTAATAATGTAGAGCTCCATCATTTTTTTTCTAGCCTCTCTTTTAAAAAAAAAAAAAAAGTCCATTTGAAAATTCATGGATAACAAAAAAGCCTAATCAGTATTGAAATTAACTTTAATATGGGCCAGAATAAAGTCTTTATAAAGATTTAGAATAAAAGTTACTTGTAAAATGTTTTCTTATTTAACCACAATACAGTAGATCAATAAAGAAAGATGACTTCATTTATGTCAGATTCTGCTTGGTCTTGAAGCCTTTGATGGGTTATTTTCACAATTAATGATGGCATAACAGTCAAAATAGGACTCATGTACAAAATGAGCTCATCTATTCTCAGCCCTGGCTACTGGCCTGCCCCCTGATTGAGAACCACTGTGTTTTTCAAGAGTCTTGTCAGGAGAGGGAGCCAGAGCTGTGTTTATTACAGCTGCTGGTGGATAATAACACTGTTAGCAACACGGTTTGTGTCGACAAACAATACTTTATTTTAAATGTTTCCTCAAAAGTACACTTTAAATGCTAAATAAGATGCAATTTATGCAACCCAGTTAGTCTTTAAACACATTCTGCTGCTACATAATAAGACATACTTTTTATTTATACAGTTTCACCTTTCTCTATTTATGTACAGCGCTTTGCCTTTATGGTTCTCCTGTCAAGTGATATTGAGCATATTCATTCATGGCACAGATTAAGTGTCATATTATTAAGAGGTCTGATCATAATAAAGAATTGCTCTTTAACTTAACATTTTGCCTAATGTAGTTATGACATTCTGAATAACCATTAGGCAACAGTGCATTGCTTATTTTGTTAATTATTGTAGTCATCATGAGGAAACTGTTGAGAATATTCCAAATTATTCTAAAATAGAAGTAATGATAATAATAATAGTAAATTAAAAAAAAACAAGAGCTTATATTCCAAAGCCCTCACACAGGCAAGGGTGGATGAGGATAGACGCTCTGTACACAATATGCTGTGTGCTGATCCAAGTCCAGCGCCCTACACGTGATAAATCAAGCATAAACTGCTTTCAGATGAGCAATAAAAGGCAACTCTGCCCTATGGACATTATTCTTCATCCCTGCATCAGCTGGATTGTCTTTTCCTGGTAGCTCTGCTCTTTTTCCTGCAGGACTACTGAACTCACACTGAGACACTGAGAGCATGAACTGCTGATACAGACTAAATCTGCTGCGGTGACAGATCCTGTCGCAGTGGAAAGAAAAAAACACCCAGCCCACCAAAAGCCTGCGCAACCTCTCTCTCCTGTGCTGTAAAACTGTGAGGAAACGTGACTAAGCATGAGCCAGACGCCCTCACCCTTGCCAAGCACATTTGTGTGTGTATCTCTCACTGCATGATCTCAGGAGAGCAATAATGGATGATGTTTGTGTCAGTTTGCTTGTTTGTATATTGGAAGTACCTGATTCAAATCAATGTAGATCCAAAAATAATAATGAATATTCTTTGAAAAAGGGATACATGGAAGTCTTGTAGTCTGTATGCAATAAAGCAAAGACAAACTGTGACTAATATATATATATATATATATATATATATATATATATATATATATATATATATATATATATATTTATTTATATTTATTTATTGAGTTTTGCATTTACAATCTAAAGCAGTATATTACCCCTACCCTACCACAACCACGGCATTGAAAGGAGAGGAAAAAAAAACATAATAAAAATAAAATATATATCGTTCTAGAATTTATATATTTTTGATTGATTACAGAATAAACCTCTGTAGTAAAGTAACTTGCCTAATTAGCGTAATTTGCTTAGTTAACCTAATCAAGATTTCAGTAATAATAATAATAATGACAATAATAGTTATAATAACAATTTTATTTATAATTTGCTTAATCTCAAAACGCTACAATGTATACAAACAAAATATGAATACTATTATCTTGCAAGAAATTATTATTAATTATTTTTAAATCCTCCGTTAAACAGCACTTTCAAAATATTTAGGAAATAATGAGAGACAATAATTTTGATTTTAACCGTATAGTGTAAAGTAAATATTATAATAGTTTTAATTTAATGTTCATGCAGTTTTCATGATCAATTATTATTTAGTCATGTTACTATTTTTATAAAATTTTTAGTCGACTTAACATTGGACCATTCCAATTTATTAGTAAAGTTTCTCTAGAAAAACAAAAAACAAAAATAAAATAAATAAACTAAAATTTTTTTTCTAGAACAGAGATGCCCAAACTTGGCCCTTTGTATCCTCTGATTTGGCACACCAGAGAGAAAATGATTGGGAAGAGTTGGATTGCCTTTTATCTTCTTTAAAGGCATTCCCTAAAATCATTCTCATTTCTAATTTTAATGCAACCTTTTGTTTGTTTGTTTTTTTGTTGAGCTACAAAAAATATTTTTTAATGTTTTAATTAAATATTGTAAATGATTAAATTTTTTTTTAAAAATGTATATACCAGCACATATAGGGGACAAAGCAGAAGACGGCGTGCAAATCAAGGCAAAGGCAAGTTCAGCATGACTAGTGTATTTGGCATTGATCTTTATTGTTTAATAAATAGATTTTTTTATAGTTTTACTGTAATAGTTCATTAAAATAATATACATTTTCAAAAAAGTGAATTAACTACAGTTGAAGTAATTATTTCTATTTATTTTTAAATATTATGAAATAAATTACCCATGGCAACCTTAATGTAATACAGTTTGCGATGCTTACTTTTGACCCACAGCTCTCAATCAAGCTTGGATTTTGGCCCTTCATAAGCAAAAAGGTTTGGGCATCCCTAGTCTAGAAATAAACTTTCAGTATTACTATGATTAGAAGAGACAAACTGAAGTAAATAAATTGAACTCAAAAGTAAATTTCTAACAGAAATATCCAGTTTTGATACAATTTTATTACTAAACTGTTTTATTGTGACTCTTTAAGGTCTAGACAACACTAACTTGACAGTGTGAGCAGTGTTAGTGCTTTCTTTCGCAACAAACAGCAAATGACTTCTGCTGATAGAAACTGTCTATCTGTCAGTCAGCTGATGAATCACGTCATACACACCTGAGAGATTTCCATCGGTCTTTCTCCATGTTGTTTTCGGGCCCTTCGCTCTCGTATGACGCCAGATACAAAGCTGTTGAGAGATCAGCAAGATCAGCGTCAGAATCACAAAAACAAAGCCACCTGTTCTCAATCTCCAGGAATGCTCTTGAACTTGTGTTTCTAGGTTATTTAGCATGACAGCATTTTACACCCGAGGCAACAATGACAAGCGCCGCTCTCTTAGTGTCTGGTTTCTTTGTGTGCGTATTGCGCAAACATCATTTAAACAGGTTTATGATGCGAGTGGCGAGAAAATAAGTGAACAGAAGAGACTGAGCTCACACAGGATGTCTAGGTTGATTGTAAACCAGTAATGTAAAAAATATTTTGAATCAAAGTAATGGTACAAGCCTTTAGTATTATAATAGGTCTGAATTTCTTGGGGTGGAAATAGGGCTGGGCAATAAAATGATAATGTTGATGAAATTATGACATTAAAGAGGTAATAATAATAACAATTATTATTATTATTAATAAGAATAAATAGTTTTTAATTATGTGCTTAAACTGAAAGCACTGAAATGTATACAAAATCCAAATACTTCTTGCAAAATAAGTAGAAAAATTGTATGTACTGTCATCATGGCAAAAACTAACTAGCTACTAAAAATGTTATTAAAACTTTTTTAAATCCTCTCTCCGTCAAAGAGCAGATGGGATGGATTTAATAAATAAGGAGGGATAAAAATTTTGACTTCAACTGTATAATGTGAAATAAATATTTAAATGTTTTTATTTGTTTTACCTATGCATGAGAGGATTCAAGTGAATGATATCATGAATGACAATGTTTGACAAACTTTAACTATAACTCTTAATAATTGTTTTACTTAACAGACATTTACTGCATTGATGTCACAACATTGTGGAATACAAATTTGCTACATAATTTCATATAACCTGTTCTAACATGTATTAATATAAGTAAGTTTACTCTATGTACTTGTATAGAGTAAATATTTTAAAAAATATTTAGCATATTAAATCTTGCACCCCTTGCCTTACTGTGTATAATTGTATTCATCTATTGATCCCATTCTTGATGCTGAACTTAGTTTTTGTTTTTTGTTAACTTTTATTTATTGGATATCCTAGTTTAAAGAGACACATATAATGTAATTAAATCAGCCTGCTTGCTTTGTTAATAATAATAAAAATTACAAATAAATAAGTAAATATGGTACATCAAATTAGTTCATTTTTATATCTGGTCAATATGCAAGTAGTTTAAATTCACTCAGGATAAAAAAAAAAAATCTGCCTTTAAATTTGAAGTTAAAAACTTACATTTATGGTGATAACAGTCAATATCAATGTAACTATTCTTTCAACCTCACAGTTAGCTTTACAATGGCACTATATGCACACAGACTTTTAATTTTCAGCCAGACTGCCCAAGAACTACCAGTGAACTCTTTCCAATACAAAATTGTCACATTTAAAATATTATTTCTTTAATAATCAGTGATCTTTACTGCCTGATAGATAAACGATGAAGAAGGGTCTCAGATCGGACAAGAAGCAATGTATTAAATTCTATTTACCCCCCGCCATGTCTTTAAAACATGACCTCAGCATATTACCTCAGCATTTTCAATGGGATTTCTGTGCTAGCCTGTTGCCACAGATGGTTACAACGGTCTTTCATCTTGTTTTACGCTTGAGCAACTAAACGAATACATAAGTCTATTTAACTGAATGTATTGTAATTACATTACAACATCGATACTGTAAAAACAACCTTGTGAAATTGAAAATAGTCACAATAAGTTTCACCGGAAGTTTATCATTGGCTTTGAAAGTCTAGCTGTGCATAGAGCCCATAATGTTTTCAAGATTAAATTTTCTCACCATTTATGAACAAAACGAGAATGAAGACATTACAGTAAACTTAAATAAAAAGATGTTATTTTTTAAGATATTGCTGCAATTTCTTTTGTGAAATGAAATAACAAAACGAAGTCAAACATGAAAGAATTGACGTCAATAGAAGAAATCTTTTCACAAAAAACTAATTAAAGACTTTGATGTGCTTTTTCCATGAGAAATTGAGGCATCTCAACTAATCTGCATCAAATATTTACATTTATTTTCAACCGGCTTGCTCATCATTAGAAACAAAACAGTTAATATTGAATTTTGGACATTTTTCAGTCAAATCGCCTAGCCCTAGATGAGATGAAGGTGTCTGTGACAAGGAACTGAAACTCCAAACCATACTAGCCATCACAAAACCACACATACCATCTTCACTGAAGACTGGAGCGGTCAGGAGGTACTGCAGAATCTTGCGGTCTCTGTCGAAAGGACACTCCACCTTCTTCCAAGTCATGAACTCTGTCACCTGTTTGGCTAGTTCCCAGAATTTCTGCAGCAAAACCAAGATTCATTCTGTTAGAAAGCATTGCCTACCTTCTGTCTGTCTTACAGAACTGATGCCCTTGAAACTTCATTTCAACAGATGCCAACGTCAATGAACTAAAACGGGATACTTCTGTTGCTATGTGACGATGTTTTCTGAGCCATTCATTGTTATTCTCTAGCTGGGAGAGAAGTCGTTTCCATGCATAACGTTTGCTGGCTTGTTTTGCCAAGCCAAACAGAAGGAATTACCTCAAAATTCACATGTCCGTTCGGGAGCCTGTTGGCACATCCTTCGTTGAGGAAGTAAATGTCTTTAATTAGGAGGCTGAAGAAAGGGATAACAATCTGCAAGACAAAAAATGAACTTAACATTACCAAACAGCTACTAAAAACATATGCAAGTAAAATGAAGCAGTCTTATTGGAAGATATGCAAGTGTTATGGTCACAGTGTGACTGCGTTAGGCAATAGTGTTTTACAGCAGCCTCTACAAGCCTACAGGGCCCAGCACAACTGGATCTACAGCTCTGGAGAGCAATAACAATGATTCATGACGCATGGAAGCAGTGCGGTGTACGCAAGGCTGAAATCCAAACTCTGTAGTAGCAGATTCAATAACAACATGATAAACAAAGGTGGTGTTGCTAAATTTAGATGCATCACTGGATCTAAAGCAAAGCAAAAAACAAAATCCACCTTGCATGCAAGCGATGCAGCACTATATTAAACATCAGGACAGACCAAGTAAAAATAATAACCAAGGAAATTATGATTTTTTTAAAATTATAAAAATTTCCTAAATGTTAACATCTTTTTGAAAAGTAAAACAATAGAACTGAATAATTTACTTTAAATAGTTATTCATCACATTATGATTTCAATTCAGTGCTTTAAAAACAAAAAAAAGTATGATCTCAAAATAGGCAGCATAAAAACATGCATTAAAAAAAATCTAAAATGATAGCAATATGTTTCACATAAAATATGTCAACATGATGAATGACAATAACTGTAGTATTATTCCAGAAGCAACCTTTTTAACGTCTATAAAAAAATTATTTTAATAAAAATATCGTCTGGTATAATTTAATAATTGACATTGAATTAAAATGTTTTACACTCAAGAGACTCTTGCATTTAATTTTTTATTTTTTTTTATTTCTCTTCCCCTTTTAATAAATAGGTAGAGATGCACAATATATATCAGCCGCCATATTGTTATTGGCCGATAAATGCTATTTTTAATGTTATCGTTATTGGTCCGATATCAAAAATAGGTTGATATCTTTAAGCCAATAGAGTAGGTAATTGTACCGAACCGTGCATGCATGGGTCGAACTTGTTCAGTGCACTATAACAGAGTTTTCCTCGCATTGTTTATTCATTCAAAGGCCATCCTTTCTTTATGTGGTATTGCTGTGTGTTAATATCTCAGTAAGTAGCCATATTCCTTATCATTGTAGATATGTTAGATAGGGTGTCATTGTGTATTTTGGTTTAAATCGCCTCAGGAAAAATAGCACATGTGTAAACATAATAGCAGCGATGCACATGTGCTAAAAAACTTATTGGGTTGTTTGTAATGTAATATGATTATATGTTATATGTTATTTTCAGCGGGTTGCTTGCCATGTATTGTTGATGTAAGATTGTATTCAGTTTTTAACCTATTATTTTTAGGCAACAGTCAAGTTGCATAATAACTTGCTATGCAAAGAAAATGAAAATTAATTTATATTTGGCATGCTGATTTATGTTTTGCTTTGAGTAGGCTATTCAGTTCATAAGATCAGTTCAAACTTTTATAAAGTTTTTTAAATAAAATCAGTTGTTTACTGTATAAAAATATAACATTTAAAAATATTTATATTTATTGGCTATAATATATTAGTTACAGGCCTCTAGATCTTAAGATTTATCGGTTATCAATATTGACCAAAGAATCCATATTGATGCATCCCTATAAATAAGAATGAGCGAGTCATGTAAGATCAATTCATAATCTTAACTGCATGCATGCATTCGGCAGGATAGCAGAACTCTCATCCTATGTTTTTTTCTTTGTGCATTTAGTCATAAAAAGCCTGAAAATCAAACCAAAACTAAGAAATTGATCAGTCAACCTCAACTTTAAATGAAGCTCAAAATCAGCGCAACAAGCACTAGGGGAAAAACATGGGGTCAAAAATACAAGTAGTCAAACAAGTTGATGAGTTAAAGATATTACGCGAGCGGTAATGCATTCCTGATTGAATTTGTTTACTGTGGAAATTCCTGCCTGAGAACACACTTATATGTCCCTTGAAACTCTAAAGGAAGACCACAAGCCAAAGCCTAAACACATCCAACACTTACGAAAAAACAATTGGCGCTGGGTCACAGTGATGCAAAAAAAATATATAAAAAAAAAAAAAAAACATCCCCTTACAGAACGCTGAGCATTCCAGTGCTGTTCTGGAACATTCTGTCAAACCCACACAGCAAGCATCTCCACCCTAACCAGTCAAAAATGCACAACAAGGCTTATCGAAGCCTATTAAAAAAACAACAAAACTGAGAACATCCAAAAAGTGAAGAAGAAAAACAAGCAAAACTGAAAACAGTTTAACTAAGACATTACCATTGAGCTTCCTCTTGGCAGAGTCACATTTTATTGGGCGAGTTCACAAACACTGAAGAGCATCAGAACATTTTGTTAACTGGCCAACTGCCATGTTTTCCTAACAAGAATAGAGCATATTTTGCAGAGGAAACAGAACGTCCTATTTGACATCTTGCCCTTAGTAAATGGTCCACAAACAGTCCCACCATCCTCTACGCTTGATATTACATAACGACCAAAGAGCCTGGTCCCAACCTCAATTTACAGTAAATACAACAATCTGGATTAGAGTCTACGCTTCAAGCGGCTTTAAAAGAGCCAATCACTGCAATCTTTTACGTAATAAATAAGATTTTATCACTGTCCACATTACGTTTGTTGCTAAATCAATACACCATATCGCATACTTCAAACACTTTTTTTATGTAAGCACACCCCAAACCCAAACAGCGTTATGAAACTAATGTTCCAGTCACTTCTGTGAGGAAACTTGAGAAGTGGATTACCTTCTCTCTGCTGCTGTGAGCAGTGATGGATCTCTGAGTGGCTCCGCGCAGTGCCGTCCTGTAGTTGTAGAAATTGCTGGAGGGATCCATCTGGTGCTGAGAAGAGAAACAAAAGTGGTTTATTCCCCGACCTCAGGACTTGAAACATGTAGATGCAGTTTCGACAAATTGAAGTTTCTAATAAGCCCTAAATCCATTAGACATGGTTATGTCTCAGTTAGTACTACTGATTTAACTAAAGGCATCATGAGTCACTCGAGTTACTTTTCAGCATAAGGCATTCTTTCATGAGAATCAAGTAAGATGATCCATTTCATGTACTTTCAAACTTCATTGAACCTTCCGCCTGAAGGTGAAACATCTACAAAGGTTTAGTCATCTTAAACCAATTTTACAGGAGCGGGTTTTAGTAAGTACACCGTTCAAACGTTTGGGGTATAGTCAGATCAATTGCTAAATATCATTGCAGAAGTTTTTATTGTGGATTATTGGGGTCATATAGACATCAAAAACACAATTAGTAAAAACTGAGGGTCCATTTTTGCTTTATTAACTTCACCACAATGCTCTGTAAAATCTTTTATTTATGATACCAATTCTATATAGAAGACAAATAACCCACTAAGCTTTCATTGTTTAAAAAGTAAAACAATAGGAAATAGGCAATTTATTGAGACAGTACAGTAGCTAAACCCCCCTGATGACAACACGCACAGTCCTTATTTACAGCCAAAGGCAAAACTGAACCATGTGTTGGTGTGCGTGTTTGTGTCACGTACTTAAGTCATATTCCAAGTTCAAGGCCTTTGCCTGTCCAAAGATAAAGCGAGGCCTAAACAAACCCTCTTTTAAAAAGTAAACAACAGAGTGCAGATTCAAAATTAAAGCCTTGAAGGTCTCAACCCCTCTCAAATATGGCCTAAAAGAACCTTTGTAAACATGTGCACACCCACTCAAAGGGAGAATTGCTGGGCTTCAGAAAAACGATGATGCACAAATACACAACATTTCTCGCCCACTAGAGACTAAAATTGGCATCAGGTGGCATCCATATTGTCAGTGGTTTGAGCTTCATGCATGCATGAGTCACAGGGACTAGAGCCAGGGTCCAACTCTTAATATGATTAGTGCCATATCAGCAAAGCGTTCACCATGATTAATTCCCACTCACTAGAGTTGGCCAAAAAACAAACAAATAACTAATTGTTTTTTAAACAGTGTGCAATTCACAATCAATTCTCAAGTCATCATTTTTCTTTAATATTCACTTCAGTTTTGTGGCTTATTAGGTCAAATAAATGATTATGTTTTGACATGCACATCTTGCAGAAGATTTATGTAAAGAGTCAAGTCTAAGATATTATCCATAAAATACATATTGCCTGAATCAAATCAATCAAGAATCTAATCGAGAGCTTGTTAATTAGAAGCAAATTGAAACAGATATCAGAATCGATACGTATTCACTCTATCCCCTATATATATCTAAATTCCCCCCCTCTATCCCATGAGTCACACCACCCCACTGCTGTCAACAGAGCAAACTATGACCAGATACATACCTCCAGTATATCAAATTTGGCGGTTTTAACTTTGGCCCAGGTCTTCTTGAGTCGCGACACAGGACTCATGTTCATCCCGGCTGAAAGACAGAGAAACAGACACAGGTCAGCACAGCGCAATGTTTCACTTCCTGTCAGAGCTTCAATGAGCTCACATGAACAATGGCATTAGCAGGAGCATCATTTCCCTTTGACAATGAGGTCAGCTTATAGTGCTGGGGGTCAGGGCGGTGGGCTTGTGCAGTCAGCACTAATGACCAGATGAGGTCAGAGTGTTGACTGGAAATCTCTTGAGGTGGGTCAGCCAATCAGATGCTTCTGTACTGATGATACAATCGTTTCTTACTATGTCTCGCTTAAATGTTAATCAGTGTGACATAAAAATGTGTCGCAAATATTTTGCGATGCAGTGTATGAGTGTGAATGTGAGAAAGCATGGATGTTTCCCATTACTGGGTTGCAGCTGGAAGGGCACCTGCTGTGTAAAACATATGCAGGATAAGTTGGCGGTTCATTCCGCTGTAGCAACCCCTGATAAATAAAGGGACAAAGCCCAATGAAAATGGATGAATGAATGTTTATCATTTATTGTGGGTCTAATTTACTACTCAGCAATGACTAAAATAATATTTATAACCGAACCAATTTGAAAGGTTTTTAGAAAAATCTGGAGTGAGACAATTTCTTTTATATTTTCAAAAGTTTCTGTATTATTATGTATTTATTTGGTAAAAAATCCATTTATATTGGGAAATAACGTTACTAACTGAAATAACATTACTTACCACATGTAATATAATATATACATTAATATAAAGAATAAAATATATATTTTTTTATTTATGAATCTTGTTCTGACAAAAACAATTATTATATTTAGAGGGTATATGAAGGAATCCTAAAGATAATCTTAATACCATTTTAAGCCTTTTTAAAGAAATTATTTTAAGACCTCATCGCTATTTCAAGTTCTAATCAGTTCCAAACCTTTAACCTAATAAACGATTGTTAATAAACAGTTAGTAGTTAAATAAATCAATGGAGTACAACCATGCAACAGAACTCGGATAAGCTCGGAAGAAACAAAGCTTGAAAGAATAAATTATGTGGTTGTTTTCAGCCACAGGCTTCAGTCCCTGTTTAAACTCATCTTTCGCCAACTAGGAGTACCCAAACTTACATTTTCCCATTTTGCCGTCTGTTTCGCTCTATGGTTTCACTACATGTGGAAAGTGTCACATCACCTTCCACATCACCCAGACGGAGGAGATTGGCATGACACACCCCGGCCTGAAGCAATCGTGTGAATCGAGCACGCGTTGTTAATATTAGGAGGAAAATAAATTTATGCTTTTTGGAGTCAAACACTTTGGACAATGCTTGAACAAAATTGACGACTTTGTAAAAACGTGATTAAGACTTTTTTATACCTTTTTAAGGGCTTTAATTTCTCATTATTGATTTATCAATGTTTAATACTTTAAGACCCCACGGACACATTGTATTTATATATATTCCCCTTGTTCTTGGGATCTGTTGATGAACAAATTGTTCGATCAATCAGAAATAATTTATATATATATATTGTTAAGTAAAAAGCTCTTGTAAGGTTAAAATAATCTGATGAATTTATGGCATTTTTGCTGCATAAACACTAATTTCCTTCTTAAAAATATTAATCCAAAACTTTGGAACTGTAGTACGTTAAAATACAGACGTAAAAAAAATCCTTTTACAATGAGTCCAGGAACATATGGCAATTTATAGCCATAGAAAGGAAAATTTTGATCTACATAGACACACAAGCACTACCAAATCTTTTGTTCTATATAACAAACTGCAACATTAAAACCCATTATGTTGTTCACTACTTCACTACTACTCCATCATTTCAGGTATCTTCTATCTTCCAAAAAACCCAACGGTTTCAACCAAGCACAAAAGCAGCAACACTATCCATCCATCTACAAAAGCGCCAGCTGAGGCTTCAGTAGCATTAACAATCTGTCTGTATTAACAGGTGTGAAGCCCAGAGCTCCACCAGCACACAAACATGATACTGGCGCAATGATTTAGCCACGCACTGACGCCACATTCACGTCACACAATGTACAAAAACACAAACAGGGGCGATCACCCTTTCCCATGACTTGTTTGTTCTCTTCCAGTGACACTAATATCGGGCCTTGATCTCCAGGGAGAGTGGCTTGTGTAAGAGTCCAGGCCCGCGGGCTCGTCTCCAGGGACTGACCAGGGAAAGGACAGCTGCTTACACTCCCTCCCTCCGACAATCCCCCTCTCAATGAGTCTCAGCCTATTGGATTGGTCAACGCTGACCATCTGCCTTTGGGACGTCTATCTCTCTGTCGTCACACAGGCTGAACAGCTGCCTCCAGTCCTGCTCCTCTACCCATAATGCCTTAGGCAGCGGCGTGTGTTTGTGCTCAAAGAGCTAAGTGAATGATTAATGCAGCAGATTATTACTGATGATAAAGTCTATTAAACATAGAGAGCGAGGAATATATATTGTAATCTGAAGATAATCAATAAACAAATACAGTTTATTGAAAACTAAAGTTGGAAATTCATTTTCTGAACAGCGAAAGACGACTCAGCAGGATTTGACAAACAAATAAACCGAGAGTTTGCTTGCAGAGCCTGTAAAAGATTTGACACTGTTGTGTGTGTTAAGCGCACGAGAGCAAGGATTAGAAAAGCAAACCAAATCCTGCCAAAACAGCAAACCGTATTATCCAAACAGATTTGTGGGAAACAAAAGAGCTTTCTGTAGCTGTAAGAGCTGGAGTAAAGTGTTGTGAGGGACACAAAAACACTCACTAATGATGGCCATGAGCGAGTTGAAGTTGCCAATGTTGAAGCATTCTCGTGCCACGTCGATAAAGAATTCGATGACTCGAGCCCGATGTTTCTTCTTGACAGGCTGTACAAGAAAACAAAGCGATGTTTAGGTACACCATAGAGTGGACTTTATGACTCCACATTTTAATGTTTATTGAATACCAACTACTTTTGTGATATATAATCATTTGTAATGTACACTTTTTGTCTTACAAAAGTGCAGATTATGGAAATGTGTTTAAGCTTGCTATGAAAAGGAAGGATGTTTTATGAATAAACAATGTTGGGCAAGCTACTTAAAAATGTAGTGAGCTAAGCTATTAGCTACTCTACTTAAAATGTAGCTTAACTACGCCTAAAGCTACCCTCCTGGAAAAGTAGCAAGCTAAGCTAAAAGCTACTTGGCAAAAGTTTCTTAGCTACATCAAAGCTATTTTTGCAATTTTAATTTTTAAATGGAAGCGACTTCAATCCAACTCAATCATATCTTAGTGATCAATAAAACTGTCAATGAATAATATGAGGCAAAATTGTTCAGTTCCATTATGTACTGCAAATAATATGCTGTACCAAACTACACTTAATTACAGTATATAACCGCAAAAACAAAAAAAGTTAGTATAATTGGTTGGCGACATCAAAACCATTGTGAGAGGTGGCAGTAAAGCATCAAAAAGTTTGTTGTTGACCACCATAAAACAGGAAGTCTTCATTCTCGCCATCATCTGAATTTACTTTTATCAGCTAGACACTGGTCTCACAGCTCCGTGAATTTCAGTGCCATCACTTAATAATCCGCAAACGGTAAATGTAGCTTGTGTGGACGCTACTTAGCTACTTGACTAAAACATAAAGCTTCACTAGTGAAAGCTATTTGATTTAGAAAGTAATAACGCTACCGCTACGCTACTAAGAAATGTAGTTAAGCTATTAGCGCCTACTACTGCCAAACAAGGTAAATAAAGTATATGTTGGACTGATATTTGACCAAAAACACAATAAAATATTATATTTAAAAAGTCATTTTCAGTTTTAGAATATTTAACACTTCAGATTTAATGCATTGCTGTTATGGCGAAGGCTAATTTTCAAGCCATTGTTCAAGTCTTTAGAGTGGAATTGAGCTATTTACAGTTGTTCTGATTTATATTTCTTAAATATTTTTCCAGGTTTTTTTAATGAATAGAAAGAACATGTACCTATAAATTTCCTGAGCGCAAACCTCTGAAAGGTCACATATATTTTCTAGACCTGTAATTAAAATGACTAATTGCGCAACCCAGCTTGTAATTTGCAGCAAGTAAAGTTGCTGGAAGAGTCACAGCAATTAAAGCAGATGATTACCATGCAGATCTCCGTCGCCACCAGGTAGCTGAGCCTGTTGAACCACTCTACGTAAGCCTCCAGGTTACTTGCCTTCTTGTGATCACTGAAGCAATTCTGCAAGATTCAAAGATCAGTTTCAGAATTACAACCACACAGAGACATGAGTTTAGTCAAAAACATTTAAACTTAATTTCATTTGGAATGGACATTTTAGCTGGGACATACTGCTCTTTTTAGTATCAACCGTTTCAGTATTATTATTTAAATAAAGTAGAACAGATTATGATATTCAAGTAAGCAACAAGTTGGATCTCATATAAACAGTCTGTATGTCAATATCTATTTTCATCCTGTGTGGCATGAAGTGAATCTAATGAGCTTGTTGTCTGTGGAGTGATCTCACAGAGTGATCGCCTGCTAGGATCTCTCATTTTCACATTTAGAACCAAGAACAAAGGTCTCCGCAATGACTGATGATGTGCAACAATGCTCATTCAATCAGAGAGCTCGATTGCCCTGGAGACCCTCCACACTCACTGGGCCCAGTGCTATTATCTGTTTAGGGAATGTGCACAGACACTCAGTCTGAAAGCTTAGGTCACTCTAACCCTTCATTCCTCGCATTCCTACACTCTGACTGTGCGGTCCGTCACACAATACACGATCCACCCTACACCACCTTTGACGGACAACATCAGAGAGCCACGGCCGTGCACAGGGACCCTCTGGAGAGACGACGACCAGAACAAAAGAGAAAAATCGCACCAGTACCGCCACGACACAGGCTGTTGCCTAGCAGCCAGACAGCAATGGGCATTACGAGGCAGGGCTGAGCAAACTTTTGGCGGGTTATTGTGAGAAACCAGTTGCTAGGCTTTGGCTACAAAAGGACAGTGTGTGGAACGTGAGGAGAGAAACTTGGACGCTGACAGATTAGGAGAGGAATGTGCCGTGAAAAAGGTGACACCACTTTGAACCCGAGGGTTAACGTAAACATGGCGACTATTGATTTGGATATTTGTTGTTGTAAGTGCAAGAGATAACATTTGTGCCGTGTGTATTTTTAACTGCCCATAAACAGGAAGAAAGTGTTACCTTGTCATTATCAAGAGGGTCTTTCTGAACAAACGCCTGAACAAACTCCTCCGGTCCGATGTAGCTTAGCCTTTCCTGAAAAACAAACATGAGATCAACGTCACCTTTGCATTTCGCCCAAATGGTCACCCTAAAAATAGCCCTAGATTATTGATTTAGTAAACAAATCAGTCCAAGCACAGGGTGAGGTGAGGAATGTGAGGTTGTGTAAACTGAGGAAATTCCTCTCACCAGTTCAATGTGTGTGAGTTGTTGTGCCAGGGTGAAGGGGTCGTTGCAGATGGTCAGAATGTCTCTCTGGATGGACTGCGGTTTGGTCTTCAGCACGGTTAGTCTGTCCGTCACCGAGGAGTTGATCTTGGCCAGCGCTTCTTCATACTGACTCAGTGTGGTGAGCTTACGGATCAGCGTTTGTGTCATCTGTTGCACCGCCTTACGATACAGCTGAAGACACACACAAGATCAGGATTTACAACCCTGCTTTTATTGACCAGAATTACAAGGTAATCATTCATATGTGAAGACTGACAACACAATGTGTCTCACACTGATAAGAAAGCTGAGGAAATGTACAGAGTGTTTTGCCCCTGTAAACATTTAATGGATTTTCAGGCATATAATAGCGCTTTACTCTTGATTGGTCAGCCGTGATATGGTTTAGCTCACAGAGTCTATCGTTCCAAGACGAAGAGTACATTACATAAACAGTTAAAGCAGGATAACAAAACAGCAGTACTTCATTTATGTCCTTCAACGGTTCACAAGGGTCCTGCATGCCTCCCATTTCCCCTCGTAACACAAGATGGCTTTGAGTGGAGTTATCTAATAATAAGAGCCTGACACAGTTCTGGACTTCTGTTGCATAAGTAGAGGACAGCAGCGGGTCATGCCCTGTTGCTCAACATCAGCCAGGCAAGAATCTACATCCTGCTGGATATCCAGTGGGCTTCAAGATCTCAAAACTTAGAATGTGATTTTGTCTTACTCAACTAAAAAAATGGCTTTAAATGGTCTTACTCAAAATGAGTTTTTGAGTTATTTGTATAACTTTGACTAATTATACGTATTGAACTAAATCCAGATACAGTAACAGCATAAAATGAATCCCTGATTAATGCTCTCGTGGCTGCCAGTTTCAAAAAGCAATCAAACGCAAATGGCTACCTCTAAAGCGATCAACCTCAAATAATCGGAGAGATGCAACTATTGAGCTCCCTATAATGGGCAAAAAAAAAAATCACTTCTGTAGTTAAATTAAAGAAGGACATAGTCCTGGGAATGTGGAGGAAATGTGCTCAATTTATTTCAGTTAGAATACCTCATTTTGTTGCTATAAACAAATAGAAGATACTCAACTAGTTATATATTGACATTGTATCCAGTGTTATCCCCATGTGTATAATGGAGGTGGTCGTTTGAGATTATTCTGGAAGGAATTATATTATGCGTTCTCACCCTGGATGTATTTTTATTTGTATTATTTTCTTTAGTTTTAAGCAATTTTTTCTTTTCATAACAAAAGTTGAGTACTATGTATAGTACACCTGACAATAATGTATGTAAATTGTATGTCACTTAAGGTCACATACTGAGATTCAAATGTACTTTGAAGTATTGTACGATTGTACTCAATTGAGTGCTAATAAACATAAAATTAAATAATAATAGTTATTTAATAATAGTAAACCTAAAAATTATTTTAACTAAGATTACTTTAGAAAAGTACTATTTTAAGGTTAAGTGTAAACCGCTTTACAAATAAATATACAGTGCGTTAATATAGTCCGGTTTGTTTATGCTTTTCTATTCATATACAAGTCAATCGATATAAAATACATTTTTATATCAACTAATATCTTTTATACTTTTTATTCACAAAAGTAAATAACAATAACTATAATCAAATGTACCTAATTTTGTGAGATTCGTGAAGTTTACAATACATCTAATAACCATAAATCACACTGAAAAATTACTGTTGAAACTACATTGGACAATTAACATTTTTAATCAAGCATTTCATACCTATAACTATTATCATCCAAATAGGATTCATCCAGCTTTAAAAGCTCAAGCATTTTAAGCAACAAATGAAGTGAAATTCTACCACCAACATTATTGTCCACTGGTATATATGATAATTTATTTATACTGTTAAAGTCCCTGGTGTGAAAAGGCCTTTGAGCTTTCTGTTTAACCATGTAGATAAAAAGCTAGTGTTTAAATATTTTCCTGATTAAACGCAGGGTGTTCAAAACATCTTCCGCTTCTTCCGGCCTTCTGTAATCCTTTCTGACGCATAAAAAATAAAAAGTGGCCCATTAATCTGTTGTGCAGGAGGTCAGTGGCACATAAATCCATCTGCCTCGGAACAGCCTGCGTTCTTGTGCACTCCAGCACATTGTGTAGATGCAAGAATATTGACGATTTGAAGAGAGTGTGTGTGTTCAGAATGAAACGAGACCTTGCAGCACTCTAAAAGATCACAGAGCATCTTAATAATTCCCTCTACGAAAGTCCACCATATGTTGACACAGAGGAGAGAAAGATTATTTTTAGCAGGAGGACTTGGCGATAACCGCTTGACATTTTGAGCAGCAGATCAGACACAAGTCACTTGTTGTGGAAAAATTAGAAAGCTGCTTTTGTGCAGCCTACACATTTTTATCCCTGGCACGAGTGTGGGACAGCCGTCCAGCATGGCACAAGCTCAGAGTACAGATCAATCGGGCATGGACACACCACACCCAGGTCAAAAGTGAACGCCGGTCTACATTACTTTCCCAATAAACAGAATTTGGGCAAAAGGTGTCCAAATGTGCACCAAATGCCTGTGTCTGGAAATGTACAAATGCGCCCTGCCTTTCCTATACAGAGACCACATGACAATCTAAGCTGACCAGAAGCCAGAGGACAAACTGTGGTCTGGATACAGATGTTAAGGCATCTATTCTCAGGACCCTGTGAGGCAACTGCCAGTAAAAAGACTGAAAACAGCAGGTCAGCAAACTGTTGGCATGCTCATAAGGAATGATGAGGTCCAGGAGAGGTCAAAACATTAGAGTTCTGACTGGAAACCACACCATAGTGGTCTTGATATGATGGGCTGCAAACACTGGAGAGCACGTTTAAAAATACACCACATTTGTCTCAGATGGACTCATGTCTGGCTATAAATACATCTATTGTGCGACTCTGGCTGCTGTGAATCCCCAGTCAGTGCTCTACTGTTACAGACACTCTCATTAACATCATTCACGTACGAGTACATGCCGTTCACATGGCAGAAAAAGCCGCGACTGAGTTGCATAATACAGACAACATATTGATGCTCCGACTGTGACTGAATGCATTCTTCATGATACACTCGTCATGCATAGATGCACATCTAGCAGACAGCCATAACTCAAAACACTGATTTCATTTGTCTCGCATATGTAGCAAATGCAAAGATCTAAAAGACTTTATTATTAAATCAGTCCTAAAATAAAATGACTCTAAAAATATCATGTGTAAAAATTATATTTCTCCTTATACTTTGATTAAACACAAAGAGCACTTTTACCATCAGCAACACTTAGTCATAGCCAAGTATGTGTTTTTTAAAAATATTAATTATTATTATTATTAAACAAGTTTTTTGGGAAGCAACACAGCATTTTACAATCTGAATGAGCCTTGCTTTGTTAAAAATGTTAATGAGAAACTTAACATTGATAGTATAGTATAGTATAGTATAATACAACAGGAAACTACTTAAACTCATTCATCAACGTCCTTTAATTAAGTTTATTTATTATACATTATTTATTATATAACATTTTATAATTTAAGCAAGAGATGCCCAAACAAGGACCCGCGGGCCAAAATTGGCCCATGGTAACCTTTGATTTGGCCCTCTTTCTGAGAATGGAGGGAGAATGATGGGGATGGTTTAGAGATTGTCATTTCAAATTTAATGTAACCTATTATTTGCTTGTTATATTGTTAAGCTACATTAATTAAATCAAATGTTTCAGTTTAAATGCTGTAATATAGTTTAAAATGTACATACTGTTACTCGACGGATAGAGGACAATGCAGAGTGTTGAGCAGATCAAGCCAAAGGGTAATTGTTATAAATTTGATTATGTTTTTATTGCAATAACCTATTATTAAAAGTTATACTGCGATAGTTAATATGATGCAAAGTAATTTTTTATTTTATTTTGTAAATATTATTAAATAAATTAGGAAATTACCCATGGCAGCTTTAATGCAAAAGAGTTTGGTATATTTATCTTAGGCATACGGCTCTTAATGATATTTGGTTTTTGTTCCTTCATACGAAAAAGTTTGGGCATTCCTGACTGTTTTGAAAACTTTATCATTCTGAAATTTTCAAATTTATATAAATATTTTAATTCTAAAAATAAAACCTACACATTATATTTTTATAACGCATTCATAAAACAGCAGTACATTTTTAATTAAATACACTATCACTGATCCTTACACAGTTCTAGCTTTGCATGTAGCCTTTTGAGCATACATGCAATCTTATTAGCTTATCACCCCTTTCACTAGAATGAGTAGGCTGTAAAAATCTCCTCCATAAGCCAGTAGAGCAGAAGGTCATTGATCTCCTGGGTCAGGATAAAGCAGGTCAATAGCCACACGTGTTTACTACAAAGTCTTTCCAGGTTAGTCAAACCTCATTTGTTTGAATCTGAAGCGTTGGCATCCTCCATCCTAAACTGTCTATTCTAACTATTGCTCTTCTTTAGTCATTACACTAACGCACTCCAACCACTTGGGATGACCCGTGCTAACTACAGAAAATCTATAATTTATTTACCGTACACTAACAAAATCAAGAATTTCTGGTCAGCGGTGGATGATCAAAAAAGCCCACAAAGGTCTTTTAAAGACAAAACTTGATGGAGGCATTCGGTTTTATTCATATTCTCTTATTTAAAATGCTCAGCGGACAGACAGCAAAATGATAGAGCTGAAGTTAACCTGATGTAAAAAAATTAAATATACTTTGCTTTAGATTTTTCCCCAGTGAAGTTTAAAAAAAACTTGGCATAAATAACAATGCTAAATGTGGTAAAAAAGTCCCTCTGAGGAAAAAACGCTAAGCCAGAAGCAGGGTAGCATCCGAGTCAGCGCTAATGGAACTATTTAAATGCAGCCCGTGGACAAGCACCAGTAAAGACAAAAGCAGATGAACAAAAGAGCTTTCTTCTCGTCCCTCTTGTCAGAGCGATTTAGTACTAAAGAAATTTCACCCCCCCACTGCCCAGGTGTTGACACTCTTCTCACCCAGCGTGTGACATTTTACGTCTTAACTAGTTGAACGTTAAAGAACCATGCTAAGGCTTATGCAAAAATGTTTTGCCCGGTCTATGCTAATAGTGGCACAAAGGCCATAAAGAAAGACTAATGTCTTTGACGCAAGCACTCACACCTTTCAGGTGACTAATACTTTAAAACGGCGTTGGCCTTTAGCTGACATTTCCTCGAGAATAAAAAGCTCATTGTTTCAGCTGAAACGATCGCCTGATACTTGGAAAGAGAAGACTTACATCCTCTCCAGTGCTCAGACGATGTGTTAGTTCCTTCAGGCTCTTCATCATCCTCTCATCCCTAAAGTCATAGGGGAACGTCTCCGTCCACTCAGTCAGCAACTGCAGGATCTTGGGAGCAATTTTCCTGACTCTAGCCTACAAAAGAGTGGAAAAAACAACAATGTAATTACAAACTGTTTCACCCTGATACTTGATAATCGGTGTAGAGTCAAGTTTGTACCTTGTCTGCCTGAGGATCACTGAGTCTCTGCTGGTCCACACATAAATGGCACACTTTGGACATCAGCTCATATGGGTGAAGAAAGAGACGCGAGCTGAGCAGGAATGTGAAGATATATGTCCTCTGTGAATCAAAAATAAGATACTAATCAGATGAAAATGAAAGCACTGATTAGCTACTGTTATATTTCAAGACAACATATCTGGTTAGCTTAATTTAAATGCTTAGGCCTAACGGTAGAATTATTTTTCAATGGTTTTATATCATGATCACTTCGGCTGCCTTTATTTGTTTGTAAATATGATAAAAAGTTATTTAATGTTTTTATTTATATGTCCATATTAAAAACGTATTTATTTATTACATATAATAACTTTGAATAAATGATTTTAAATTATGATACTCCAAATTATGGATGCGTGCATACAGTTGCAATCAGAATTATTAGCCCCCCTTTGAATTTTTTTTTCTTTTTTTAAATATATGCCAGATGATGTTTTCACAGTATGTCTGATATATATATATATATATATATATATATATATATATATATATATATATATATATATATATATATAATTTTTTTTTTCTTTTCTGGAGAAAGTCTTATTTCAATTATTTCAACAATAATAAAAGCAGTTTTTAATTTTTTTAAAAACTATTTTAAGGTCAAATTATTAGCCCCTTTAAGCAATAGTCGATAGTCTACAGAACAAAACATAATTTTCCAATAACTTGCCTAGTTACCTTAACCTGCCTAGTTAACCCAATTAACCTAGTTACGCCTTTAAATGTCACGTTAAACTGTATAGAAGTGTCTTGAAAAATATCTAGGCAAATATTATTTATTGTCATCATGGCAAAGATGAAATAAATCAGTTATTAGAAATGAGTTATTAAATCTATTATGTTCAGAAATGTGTTGAAAAAATATATATTTCTTTCATTAAACAGAAATTGGGGGAAAAAATAAAGAGGGGGGCTAATAATTCTGACTTCAATTATTAAATGTGTTTTATGGTTACAATGTTTTGACAAAGTTCAAAGTAAAAAACAATATCTGAAACTGCTGAATATTTGCACACTCACATCTGGATAGTACGCCACTGTAGGAACCAAGTGCTCAATAAGAGCTTCCAAGGACCCAGATATCAGGTTGTTGTCATGGTAATACAAGCCTTCATAGTCCTCTTCCTTGGCCTTGTAGAGATTCTTGTTGTATCCATTGGTGGATCCATACATCACTGGAAAGGGTGGCGTCTGAGGCATTTTGTCCTGTTGAGAAAATAAAGAAAGGCAGGTCAGATAAGCCTCAGATAAACCTCAAATGAAAAACATACACTGATATAGACCAATAACCATTTCATTAATGCCAATCCTCGGTCCTCCTTAGAACATTGTTTACCTTTGCGTAAAACGAAAGGTCCCCAGTATCATTACAGGAGGCTGAGTGGAAAATTACTCTTCTTCGGATGGACGACTCGCAGAGATTAACATGTCGTGATTAATCTCAATGTGCAAACACCTTTCATGATTGAGCTTGTGAGAACTTGAGTTTAATCTCCATTCTGTGAAAATTTCAGACTCACGCTCGCTGGCTCTAATCCACCAAGATATCAGCTGAATGTACCGCTGGCGGATTTCACTCACAAACACCAACAAATTAATCTTCATGGTGCTTTTACCTCACGTGGACGTGTAAAACAGAGGCTCTTTTAACCACAGTCTGACACAAAAAACAGAGTGACCTATGAGTCTAGCGCTTCTGAAAAGAAGGATTCTTATTATCTCCTCAAAACGTGGCCCGTTACAGACGAGTCCTATGAGTCGGTCAGCGTTAGCTTGAGGTGATAAACAACCAAATGCAGTTTTTCACCCACACAAAGAGTGCTGGCTCACGTTGCCTCCCTCCCTCTCACATCTCCAAGGCTCTCGTGGAATAGCAGAAAGTCAACGCATCACCTTATCACGCGGGCAGCTCTATCACGCCAGCACAAGCTTCTGTGCCATTTCGGAGCTCAGCCCGTGACTCTAAGTGAGATTCCTGGACATGGAGCACATGGGCCTCTCAATGGAGGCATTCACAGCTATGGCACGAGTCGTCAAGGGACACCCCGAACAATGTGAAGCCCCAATGGCCGCCTGCCTATTCAAGCCTGCAGGCATTTGAGTGCCAAAATTGGACTGAAGTCCTGTGCAGAGGGAGGAGGTGCTGTACGAAGAAGGATATGCTCACTCCACAGCCCCCCCCAAGAAAACCCCCTTCATAAAACCATAGACATTAGCATCAAAATGGAGCCCCAAAAGGGTCAAAGCAGCAAACTCCCCCTGCGCATCTGCTTTACCATGTGTTATACCATCTGAACAAGTCAATGAAATGAAAAGCAAGGAAGGCCAAAATGACTTTGTGCTCATCACCAGAAATTGACAATTTGTCAAGTCCTTTATGAATGATGCCTTTGGGAACCACATTCAGTTTAAATCCATCTCACATTCTATATAGACACTTGTTAAAACTTTAGGTAAGTAATTTCTGACTATCCAGTGTTGACTCGAGTCCAATTTGTCCCATCATATGGGCAAAAAACTGGATCCCCCTGCGCATCTGCCCATGCAACCTTATTAGTGAAACCCTCGGGCTATAATGCAAATCTGCTCAAACTGCAACAGAAAAAGTCAAAGCCCCTTTAAACTCAGCAGACACACCAGCTGCAGCACGACTCAATTTTGTGAGGGAATAAAACAAAGCCGAAGCTGATGAGTAGCAGGGGAATCTGGATTTGTTTACGGGTGTCAAGTATGGCCGGCCACACGTCCTCTACCCTGTCCTGCTTAAACAAACACTAAGCACAGTCTTCACAACAGGGGCTGTAAAGCATACAAGTAAACAAAAAAGGTCCTAGCTTTCACACAGTTACTGCACTGTTTTTGTTAGAGCTTTTATTTAGCCTACGTAGAACATTTGGCTGCATTTTAGTTATGACTGTCAGAAAGCTGAAAGCAACCAGTCCCACCCACATGTTGACTGTAGAGTTGATTACCATGTCTCTAGTTCAAAACAGCTTCCTCAAGCATGAAGTAACTTTAAACAAGATAAACAAACTGATCTTCTGGGCTCCGATACCTTTTAAACAGTTTCTGTTTAAGTTTTATCCTTTCACTGGACAGTATTGAGACTAGTATCTTACAATATTGAAAACAATAATAAGCATTATACATATATTTTACTAACAATATTAAATTATAAGATTTTCATTGAAATTGCGATTTCAAAATGTTTTTTTAATATATCTACCAGTTTTCTCTTGACAACAATGTCTAAAGCAAAAAAAACCAAAAAAAAAAAACCTAAAGGCTACATTGGTAAAACCCAGTGTTCTGGACTGTTTTTAAGGAGCTGTAAAGTTGTTGTGGCAGTCCTTTCCTCAAAGGTCACTTACTTCATGCTGAATTCACAAACAACCAAGGATCTCTAGTAATAGAAAAGTCTGATCACTGCAGAAACATCTTTCAACTCACATTCCACTAAAAGACTCAAACAAGCCATTTCTGCCATATTCAATTGACTTTTGTGTGAACCACAACAAACAGAAAACATAGTAATGACCAGCTACTTTAAAACAATGTAATGAACATCAAGGAATGAGGAAAAGAACTGCTGTGATCCCGCAGTGTGACAACATTGTTTGATAAATCAATTGATAAATTCAGCATCAGGCTCAAATTAAGGATTCTGCCAAAATGGGTTACATGTTAGCCTTGGGAAAGGAGCAGGTGTGTGTTCGAGATGAAGGGGGAAGGGAGCTATAGCTTCACTAAAACTACTCAAGTGTGTTTGAGTAAATAAAGGGCTTGGCTGGCTGTACAGACTGGTGGGGCACAAAGCACTTTGAGCTACCTGTGTGACTCCTAACACGGGGGCAAAGTCCAGCCAAATCACAAAGATCACAGATCAGCATTTCAGGAAACATTTCAGTCAACAAAAAAATTCAATAAAACTACAATCAAATGCTACTGATTTGTATCTGCTTAATCTTTTCAATCTGCTTAAACACCAAAACAACTTATTTGATAGTGGGAAGAAACAAATTGGTAATGATCATCTTGAACCAACAAGGGAATATTCAGTAGCAATCCGGAAGTTCCCAAACCAGCCACTAGACCACGACTACAAACACCCAAATAAACATAAAGCTGCTGTCTTCATTCTGCAGCACATACAATTTGTTCAGTACAGGTCATGAACGCTATATTATTAATCAATTTTATGTCATCCTTGATTTTCCAAACAATCACTACTGGGTCTTCAAGGTTAGGAATCATAATAAATGTATAGTTCAGCCAAAAATGAAAATTTACTCTCTATTTAGTCGAGCGGTTCTAAATCATTTTGATTTTCTTAATTCTGTTTAACACAAAAGCTGATATTTATAAGTAAGCTGAAAACCATTAGCCATTGACTTCCATGGTAAGAAAAATGGATACTATGAAAGATAATGGCTGAAGGTTCCCAAAATGTTTTAAAATATTTTCTTTTGTGTTGAACAGAATAAATAATATCATAAAGGTTTGAAACAAGTAAAGGGCGGGTAAAAGTTCACAGAATTGGTTCAACTATCCTTTTAAATCTCCCTTGAGATATTTAGCTTTCAATGACAGAGGAACCTTGCCTAAAGTGCCATGAAACTATACTAAAATTAAAATACTTAAAATATTTTAACAATACAAGCATTCAGTAAAACAGTTTTCATGACCAAATCAAATAGCGCAAGCATACCATCAAATAATATCAATAGAAATCATTTAACCAATAAATATAGCAGTAAAAGTCAAGATTACAATAAATAACCAAAAATGTATAAAATTAACACACCCACTTACATATATATATATATATATATATATATATATATATATATATATATATATATATATATATATATATATATATATATAAACACATATCAGCATGTTTAAAACTCAATCAAGACCACCAGAACACTAAAACCAGATCGTATCATCAATATCAATAGCTGTCACAGATGTTTATATATATTTATATATAAAAAAAAAAGCCTATGGTCTAAAATCTTTTTACAAAATGAAAAATTTTCAGTATCAGCCTCCTTTATTTGTTATTTCACTCTAGGGGCACTAAAAAGGACTTGTCCATCTCCATATACTTGAAATTAGTGATTGAAAATACACACGAGCCTGAGAAAAACGCTAATTTTAGAAGAAACATTTAGACAGCACGTAGAAGCTTTCGCATATGAACTCTCCAAAAACTCATTATGTTTATTACGTTTAATAAGCAAGTTTTGCCTCGTCTGCGCGTATTTATTGACCGACGGACGCATAGCGGGTCGTAAATAACGTCAAGTAAATTGAAACATGCAAATACAGACGCAACTCGAAAGCGTCAATCGAGCATTTCTGATGTGAAAGATCATTCAGCATCTCTTGAGTTTCTCACCTCAAAACGGAGCAAGACTCCACTGTAGATCAGCAGCCCTGCAGAAGTTTGGCGTTGAATGGCTGCGTAAGATGAACCTCCGGACGTATAATCACACACTTAAGAAAAAAATGACTACAAACAAGTGTTAAACCACGCTGCGTATTCCAAGATCACACGGATACGGACTGTGACAATGAAGCACATGATCCTTATAAATAAATCCAGGCTGTAGACGCGACGCGCATTTCACTCTCGATCTTCAGCAAGTGTGCGGATCCACTGAGCGCGCGAATAGTAAAAGATAGTGGGGCTGGGCTGTAGGATGAGTGTCAGCCAATCAGCGGACAGCACAGAACGCCCGCGTGCATGTGAGCGCGTGCCCACCAGGCTAAACATGAAAAAGAAAACATATGAGGAGAAATTCATTTAAAAATAAAAAAAGAACCGAAAAAGGAAATTAAAAGCCTTTTCTCAGCCAAATCATCTGGAAAAACTTTTATGGTTAAAGACTCATTTTTATTTGAATTCATAAGAAATGAGTCTAGTTTACTAATTTACAACAATCTAACTTACTAATTTGCCAGAAACTGTACATACATGAATGCATTGGAAAATAATATTTAATCTGTTTTTAGCGTCTGAAATACATACATTATCACATTATGATTATCTAGCTATATATCCACCTTGTAGAACATATTCTTATTGCCATTGTTTTGTAAACATTTATTCATCAATTTACTTGTCGGCTTAGCCCCTTTATTAATCCGGGATCGCCACAGCGGATTGAACTGGCAACTTATCAAGCACGTTTTTA